TTTGCCGCGCGCACCCTCGGACGCACGACTTGACCGTCCCTCGTCACATACATATACGACTCGTCGAAAAGGGCCTCGGGCAAGGACACGGGGGTGGGTGCTGGACAAGCTAGGGGGTTACTGTAGGAGCCGAGTGCTCGTATTGAATTTTCGTTTCTGTACACCGGGTACATGATCCACTGTAGGGTGACGAGTATGATATTGCCCTTGTTACCCGTCCGAGAGTAAAGAATTCTAGTTTTCCGAAGATTCTCTCGCGTTTCTCTGTCTCACTGAGAAATAACGTCAATTCGCACAAATTAGCTTCCAGTTAGTTCACCTTGGGCTTTGCTTTGAGTCTTTATTGCACCTAAACCTTGTAAACCACATAGTCACCCATAGACTTTGAAGGACAGAATTTCGACACAGTATGTAATCTACAGAACCAGTTTCATTCCCAGTTGTGCCTTCAAAACACACCCCTAAGACTTTTCCACTGGTAAAATACCATTAGGGGGTTAGCCTTGCCATCTGATTGTCTGGTTGAACGTTTCTCATGCTAGGACATTTTTTACGGCAAAAGTGTTCTAGAAGCTTTTCGTTGCCGTCTACCAAGTCTTTGTACAAGACAGGTATACATTCTATCGAAGGGTAATGAAGTGGAAGGGAATAAGGGGTGAGAGGGTGCGGCGGGAAAGGGAGAGAGGGAGGAACGGGGAGTGAGATAACAAGTGGTCGGTGAATAAAGTGAATCGATCAAAAAGATAAATCATCTGCCAATGCTTCATTTTTATTTTATAATTCCATCTTCGATACAGATACTCAGCATAAACATCTACCTAATCATATACATGGTTGTCAAAAAAGAATCTTTGATATTGAACGCCGAAGAAAACTAGGATACTTGTCCTTCAGCTCGATTTCGTCTTTCCTCGCAACTCTGACACGATTTCATGAATTTCTCTGCCTTTGGTTTCCGGTAGGTGGCAGTACATTATAATTATGCTTATCACAGATGGGGTTGTATAAAGGGTCAGAAAGGCATAGGACCCTATTACTCTGTACAGAGGAAGAATTGAAAACGTTAGAATGACTACGATTACACTATTGAGAGAGTAACACGTCGACTGCGTCAGGCTACGGTATTTCTGCGGAACCAGCTCCGATGAGATGAACCACGAGATCGGACCGACACCGCTCCTGAAACAGAGGGAATAGGACTGAAAACGACACAACGAAAAGGAACAAGTTCAAAAGCCTTCCTCAAAGATGGCCTATTTTATTTTTTAAAGCTTTCAAAAGGCACAGTCCAGGATACAAGTTTAATGATATTTTCTAGTGGGGCGAATTCATGCCCTGCACGAATGTCCAGTGAGGCACTAATGGAAGGAGAAACGCCCTATAAAGGGCGCAACAGATGTACGAAAGTTAGCAGCTTCGTAAACCACACCTAAAAGCGGCCGTGTCACAAAGGCCGCACCGTTCTCGCTGGAGCACGTATGTTGGAAATCCTCAGAGCTGACCAATCGGAGCCCTGTTTCATGGCGACAATGAAAAGCAATTTCCACCCGAAAATTATCGTGAACTGTGCCTTTATCAGAAAAGTATAAGAGAAACGGTCTAACCCATAGACGAAGGCGTAGAGGATGAGCAGTACAAGGCAGCAGTACTTAAACTGCTTCGCCACAGGACTAAGCTCAGCACAAACCACATACAACACCAAGATAATGTTATCGACTATGGTGAAAGAGAGAAGAATTGTACGCCGACCAATTCTGAAGTATAACCACAATTAGCAGCCGAGCTACCGAGTGAGCGAGTTCATGAGACATTGAGTAATCCCTAACCGTTCGATCCAAGTCGTTCCTGCCAGTGTACCTACTGTATACCCTAGTGTCATTGCAGTACTGCTCCATGAGGCAACTGCTTCGTCGAGTCCGATTTCTTCGAGAAAATATGTCGACGATAATAACATCGACCAAAGTCCTACCGTATTCTGAAAGGAGTATGGCAGCTAAGGAAAATCACTCAATTATGATGTATCATCTTACCTGCAATGCGGAGATGCTAAGCAAAATGGCCATTCTCAAATGCGGTTCGGTGAATAATTCCTTGACCGATTTCCAAGATAGGGCTGTTTGCGTCTCGTCCTCGGCTTCCTTAAAAACGGCATATACGTCTTTTTTGTGCGAAACCAAGTTTAATAAGCTTTTTTGAAAGAATGTCAAGAATTTGTTAGCTTTCTGACTGCGGACAAGCGGCCTGCGGAATCCATTCCTGTGAAAAATCGTTGGTAGGAAAGAGTGCGAGGGGTTTTGACGTCGATAAGTCCGGTTCTAGGATACGCCGGCCCTCACCTCCCTTCCATCCCATGAATTGTGCTCCACTGTGAACTGTGCAGCCCCTACAACGCCGTGAAAACTCGTATGCCTCTGGGTGTGAACGTCGTGCCCTATCCGGTTCATTTTTCAATGCGACATCATAGTCGGTAATTCAGTCATTCGAACCCTGGACCATGCATATGTCACTACTACCGCACCGACTCCGTTCTCCCTCATGGAAATAGGGTCTGGTCGTATGTTGCCGTTCATGAAACTTCCTGGCCGTGCCAGAAAAGAAAGATTTTATGAGAGCAAACTTGGACCAACCAAAATGATTTCCTTGATGACCGTGTCTACGTCGCAATCGGAGCCGTGGTAGAAACGCACTGATCGTTCAGCTGCTGGTAGGTTTGAACGCGAAATAAGAAGGAATTTTGGCGTTTCTGGTAGGAAGAAGAGTGCGATGAAGAAAAATGCACCTGAAAAATGGCCTGTCCCTCGCCTACAAAGAGTGAACAATGCCGCGGTTTTCTATCTAGAAACCTGTTTGAAAAGTGGGCAAATAAAAATAAGTACTGCTATTTTCATATTATACATACAATGCTAGTCGAGAGCCGTTATAAAGCTTTGATTTTTCCCCGAACGACTTCGAGAAAAAATCGCAAAATTGCTCTTTCAGGTTTGTTGCAAGGAGAATGCAGCCTTCTTTTGAGTTAGGGACCTAAGAAATAAGAAGTACCATATTTTCGAAATAGTAATTCTTGCCCATTATCAAGCAGGAACTCTTACCGCATCTACTTATTTTATTTACTAAAAAAAAGCAAAAAAGTTCTGTAGAGGAAAATAGCGGAGAAAAAAGAGCTCACTCACAGAATGGTATCGCAAAAGTCATGAGGGCAACGAGATCGCCACCAAGCATTTGACGAGTGCCAAGCATCATACCCACGAAACACATGGATGAATAGGAAATCTCGCTCAGAAATGTCATCATGCCTCGTTTGTGAGTGGGAGAGCATTCCTGAGAAAAAACTCAACACCACTGAGAGTAGAAACAAAGTTTGTGTGAGCTCTGAAAAAGTAGGAATACTTTGAAGGTCCAGTTTATCCTAGGATGCGCCAATACGTTAGCCTTCATCCCGAATCGTTTCGTAGCGATATCCTCAATTCTGTTTTCTCCTCCACGGGAAGTTTAAAAAGAAAGTCCGAGAAGAGCTCAGTTTCATTGGTCCACATGTTCGGATGGTTCTCATAGCCGTCCTTCGTCAATCGTTGTTCCATTTGGTAGGAACTTTGATTGACCCTGGAAGGGGCTCTGAAAGCAGTAATCCGAGAAGAACCAAACCTGGAGATAAAGAATGCAGGACTGGTAGGTAATTGCTTCACACAGAGCTGTGAGAAACCGTCCAATAAGCAGCAGCTCAGGCCGATACACACAGATGGCCAGAAGGCGTAGAACAGCGCCAAGAAGTGCTATGCCACAGCCAACGAGAAATCCAACTGCAAAGATCTGCTTCTAACAACTTTTAATCACAACGTCAATGTTTAACCCACTTTTTCGCCCGAATTTGTCGTTCAGAAGAGGATTAAACCAGATTCCAATGATGAATCCCACGAACCAAATGTTCAGAATCAGATTCCACAGCATCGTATAGGTTGACTCAGTCATTGTCCGTCCCATTCTTGTGAAGGATTCATTAAGAAAAACCTGAAACAAGTAGGCTGGGAGCACAGGTTGCTCAATTCTGTTGGCATTGCTCACCTTGAACTCCTCCACTGGTGTGTTCAAATAAGTGGTAGAGAAGCCATACTCGAAGTTTGAGGCGAAAGCGACGATCGAAAAAATGAACACCTGCCGTATGCGATCCATCCATATCGAGAAACCCATTGTTCCTAAAGGGAAGCTATTCCTGAAGGGTACTTTGAGGTCAAAACTCATGATAAGCGCTTGGGCCAAGAATGCAGACAGTATGGTCTCAGCACTGGTGGGCTTTCCCTTTTATGGATATTCTGAGGCATTCGGACAAAAGGGGGGCCTGTACCGAGAAAGTGAGCGGTTCTTGGAGGGAAGCAGTGCTAGGGGAAGAAAGCCGTTTACATTGCACAAATGGTGGAAAGATCAACGTTTATATCTGCTCAGTAGGTGAGCGATCGAACAAGATGTCTGCTACTAAAGAAACGATGTTTCCCTGATAAAATCGCGCCATCCAAAAACATTCACTTTTTTAGAAACAATTATCAAGAATGAGGACGATAGAATAAAGAGCAAGTTGAAAGTGGAAATACTGAGGGCATTGGCCCTTGTCGGCTGTTCAATAGTAGGGACCTTGTAGAATACCAATGCTCCAAGAAAATTGCCGAAAATCGTTTAAGCGATGCCAACCTTGTGAGTAAATGGAAGCAAAGGATATGGGTACATTCACCCAGAATTAAATGGACGCGGCAAACCACGCAGCAAAATTCGTAGTGATAAAACGGCTTTGGCGCCTATCATTGGGGCACGGGTTTCAAGTATATTGGATGAGTAGGGCCAGCTGATGCTTCTTATCTATCCCACTTCAAATTAGTGCCACAATGATAAGCGCCCGAGTCGTTTTAATCACCACGAATTTCGCCGCGCGGTTTGCCGCGCCCTTGTCCAGTTCTGGGCTGAATGTTCTGTCCCCCGGAAGCAAATACTAGAAGGTCGCAAAAGAATAGGATTGGTGTAGGTAGCTGAGAGGGTAGTGCGTATAGTAGGAGTGTAGGAGATCTAGCATCTAAGAATCGATCTACCAGTACGAGCGCATTCCCTCTTCGACCATATCCCAAATTCGACCAAATTCTGGATAGTGCATTCCCTCTACAGATACATTTTTCTTAGAAAAAAAAAGGAATATTCAGAGGGAGCAAAAAAATTTCTTAGTCGCTATATTTAGTTCTATGTATATCATTGAATTTTTAGCGAACGTACATACTCTGCCTGGTGAATGGTTTAGATGAAGCGGATAGGAATTGTAATTGACCGGTCCTACCCGTCCTTAGCTCTTCCAACATTTAATGTCGAAGAAGAGCTTGATTTCCTCCAGTACTCGTTTTATGTCTGGGTTTTTGACTTGAGTACGGTAATCGGGAATAAAAGTGAAGTGTGCGTATGCGACCGAAAAACTGCCGCCCATTACAAGGCAGCTGTCAAACGTGAGCGTTGCGACTCACCGTTTTTACCGTCTTGGACGGACATCTCTCTTCAAAATTACCTAAGCGGACACACCGAAGAGCTCACTGCTCAATGGTGTCACAGCACCACTAATACACGTGAATACAGCAGGGATAGCTCTTGGAAGCGCTGATGGAATAGAGCTAGACACAACACCATTCAACGTGACGTCTCAATGTTTCACTTGTGTTTTTGACAAGGCAACAAGACAGATTTTGACGTCCGAACGTATTTGCGATACAGTAATCCAGCCGACACAGCCAAAACAACAAGTAATTCACGAACTCCGTAACAAGTTTCGACTGCGTAGTATACGCGGCGGATTTCTACGTCGTCCAGCGTCTCTTCATTTTCCCCATGTGTGATTACTGTATCACAGGCTCGTTCGGACTGCGAAATCTGTCTCGCGGCAAGGCAGTAGTTGATGGAAAGCGTGGGATGCCATTACCCTGTAACGTTACAACAATCCTTTACTAATTTTTTACACACTTTGAAACTGCAACAACTTCTGGACTTGATTCCTATCACAATCACATTTCCTCTACAGACAACAGCAACGTAACCGTGCAGAACTGGGTGCGCTGGGGAACGTCCGTTCCGCACGGCCGTCGAAACTCGGTCACCACGCCTTCGCGCGCGATGCAGCCCGCTGGCTACTTTCATAGTCCGCCGGCCGGCCCGCGAGCGAGCGCGCGCGCCAACCGGCTTACTATGAAAGCAACCACTGCGATTTCGAGATGTCATTAGAGTACCATTAAGAGCAAATGGAGCGAATGATTTGCATTAGTCCGTGTTATCTTCTCTTCGGTCCGTCCAGATCGTATGCCCCACTGGAAACTGCGACGTTCGCCAAGAATTGCGTACGCAATGGCGACATGCTTTATCTCCGTGTGAGGGCGCGCACGAATAGTAGACACCCATACAACATGTTGCGCGTCCTTCAAAGAAGGGCTTGGCGCTTAGCAGTGACCGATTAAGGCGATCTTAAGCCCCTGGATACTATTCCTACCTTTCCGTACAGTGGCACGTAGATTCTTAATGGCTTTAAGAGGGTCATTTTAGTTATCATTTTGAAGCAAACATGGATGCTTCATTTTTCCTTGCTAATTAAGAGGTTCTGCTTAAAGGCACAGTTCACGATAAAAATTTCTGAGATTCCCCCACAGGATGAATCTGAGACCCCCGCGTAAACCATATTTAACACCATTGGATCGGAAAACGGCCTAGTTAGGGAGGTACAAAGGCTCAGAGATTGGCGTATGTGAATCCACGGACGAGTTTCTCCGGCATTTTAGAGGCTGTACCGATCACAACGAAACCCATGTAGGAAGTTCAAACAACTGGTCATGACCCATAGCGACAGTGAAAGACAGTTCTGTACAGTTCTGGCTTGATGTAGCCAGCTCTTTGTGCAATTGCAACAACTGAAATCTCGTCCGAATACGCCTTCCTGTTATTTCTGTCATGACAATCTCGCCCAACCTCTAATTTCCTTACTGTTGAGAAGCCATAATTTTCTCGAAATCGGCGAATTCTCTCGTTTTCTTCACTACCGATGAACTATTCCCGATCTGTACTTCCGCTTTTTGAATAAAAACGAGTACCACAAAATTATAGTGAACTGTACCTTTAACAGTTCTGCCTGGGTTAACAGTACCAACTAGGCAATGCACAATCGTCCATCTCAGGATAAGAATCGTATGAATCAGTTAGGACAGCGGATCGAGAATTCTTTCAGTCGCGCGCACGCATGTGACAAAACCTTGGCAACGGCCTCGAAGTGCAGTCACCATAATCGCCCATACCATAATCAGTCGACTCCTATAGCATAGGTATAAGTAATACATTACGCGGTCTCATCTTCAATTGAATTCCTGCTAGTAAGGGCGATCTAACACAAATCTACATACCCAAACCATACGAAAGCCTTAACCGCAGACGTCTTCAAGAACATTTCTGCCATACAACCGACGCGCCCCTTTTTGAACAGCCATAGTCAAAAAATGAGAATAAATAACTAAAAAAGTAAACAAATGAATAATAAACAATTCCACCCACAAACCCCAAACGGNAGTAGCACTGAAAGTAGCTCCCACAGCTTCCCGCGAATGTTTTGATATGATTTCGAGCAACTTTATGGCTTGCTTGACGGTCCTAATATTGTTAGCACTGATAACAACCGTACAGAGTACTTCCCATGGGTCGTAAATAATCCATCATTAATCACATACCAAAATATGACGGCGACACTGTCTAGGGAACTGGTCTATGGAATTTGGACTGGGAAACGACTCTGCAGCTAAATGGAGTCAGTCTACTTCAACCGCCAAGGGAATATAAGAGAAGAAAGCGACATGGGTGAGGTAACTGCCGTAAAGGGGTAATTTAAGGTTTTTAAAATCACCGAAAACGCTTTTAATATAGTAACATCTTATTGAATCAAATTTCTAGAAAGAATGCAATTTAATAGACATGATAAAAGGAAATGAGGATGGGGATTCACATCGGCAGAATGGACAGCCAAATAAAATATGCAGAAATGTTTCCACAAAGGCAACGACTGTTATCGATAAAATAGATTAAAACAGCAACATTCCATGTGTAACAAACTCCAGCGAAACGTTCACAAAACGCTGAAAACACTGCTGACTAGCTCGTCATCGTGTCACATTCGTGAAAATGGAGCGGTTCTATTCAACAGATTAAATGGCTAGACTTTTTTCTGGTGAGGAACGGGGGATCCGATAGAAACTGTCTTCCACTAAGCAATAGCAGAAGGATTCCCCTGATGACAGCTGCTGCACATTACATAAACTCAAATACTCCTTATCGGTCATGAAATGCAACAGGGCAAAGTCCACAGACGAATGCAAGAGACACGTTGTCAACAACAGTTACAAGTTACTGTAAAGCCATCTCGTAGAGTTGCTCGTAGAAGCCCGTTTCTTCAACCACGGTATTGATCGAGCACACGACGATCTGAATCAGGTAGCATTTAGGAGGTTGTTTGCCTGATCCATTGACAGTCTTCCTGCCGATTTTTAAGGTTCGGGGATTCTTCTGCAATTCCAGCAACGGAATCTGTGCATAGATTATGCCACATACTGGGATGGAATGAGCATAGCGCTTTCCGACAGGACGTTCATAACATTAGCTGGCGCTATGAAAGTCCCTTCTGGAAATGCCATGCTCATTGCACTTTTTCAAATATGAGCAGCCGAAGAAAGTTAATATAACAAGTTCCAGGGAAGGAGTTCCAAGTTCACAAAAGAATGAAAGAATGAAAATCATTCGACAAGACCCTGATGTTTATGGTCAATTGACATTCAATTCATATTATTGTGACCATGATAGGGTTGGAATTCTAAAAAACTTTTGTCCAAACCATCGCAACGATGGTTTGGACAAAAGCTTGACGATATCAAAATCGAAGCCTCGCACAATCGATACCCATATGGGAATACGAATGTAAGGGAACAGCCTAAACACGGTTGAAGAAGACGAAGAACGATTTCCCTCTTCAACCTCTCAATGAGTGAGTTTTTGGATGTGTTTGGATGAGTCGACCCAATGTTAATGGTATAACCACTGCAATTTGCCCACCCTCGCAAGCTAAACCTACTCCGATCAGCCCTAATTGTCCATCACATGTTTCGGCACTTCCAGTATGAAAAATTCCGCTGCAACAAAAAATGAATGGAAGTACACTAGCAAGTGCACAGACCTTGTTGGGCGTAAACGTTCCAAAGTGATAGTCTTTGTACTCCTCGAGTATCACCTCGGCATCGAAGGGTTTCGGGTGATCCTGAAAAGCAATAAATACTTCATTATTAAAAAAAGGAAAATTGAAGAGAAATTAATTCGAAACGCAAAAGACGTGATCGGCTTCAGTAAAGGGGGAAACGGACGTAAAAAGTGGTCTCTGCGACCATTTAGCTGAACAAGCAGTCTGATCGCCTTTTTGGTGAGGTTTTAAAAACTTAGAGGGGGTAACGAACAGGGGATATATCAGGATTTAAGCATCTCAACCACATCACTCATTCAGAACCAATAACTCGCTAATTTGACTCTCTGGCTTTCCCGTAAAAATGGTCCCTTCCCAATCCAAATTACCAAATTCGACCCCCTCCCCCTCCCCTGTCGTAAATCCATAAAATCGAAGTCACATGCTCTAACCTCGTCATAGCGCTGGCACTAAAGTAGGAATCAAGCGCACAGAAACAGATGAGTATAAACAAAAACAATCATAGCTTAACCAGGTCTACAGCTGGCCGCAACGGGCTACGCCATCAATGTACTGTAGAGACGAATCGCCATTACATAAACCCTTAAAATCACATGTTTCCTTCTACAAACTTGCCCAACCCTCTTCCAGATGATAGCTCTCGCTTTTCAAATAAGCAAGTTGAACTGGAAAAATTGCGCACCCGATCTGCATATAAGCTTTTCATAAGCGTCACATGCATTCTGACAGATGATTCGATCGTCGACAGCGATTTTTCAGTCTTGGGCGAAAGACCGGCAATTACAAGTCTCTTTCGCAGTAAGTCACAGATTCTTTGAAGTCTAAAAACTGAAAATCAGAAAACGAAATGACAAGATAACTTATGCGGGAACTTACGGATCTGAACGAATAACCGAGAAAAGGACTCGCACATTCTTTGGATCGTCCTCCCATGTCTCTACACCGCTTACTTCGATTTCTAATGGAGTAGATGGAAGATGGGCTCTGAAAGGATCAAATCAAGAGCATTTCATCCTTCCACACTGATTCTTCTTATGGAAGCTTTGATTCTGTTACTCGCACATAACCGCCACTTATTTTAGAACTCATACGTCTGTTCGATGAGGCTATTTCCTTTCCAGAACTATTTCAGCTTACGAAGTAGGATTAAGGGTTAACGTGGTGCAGTGGCAATTGGTGCACTAACACACATATGATTCAGAGATCAATTCCTGGACTGATAATCGCTCGAGGCAACCAAACCTTCCATCCCTACACCTCTAAAACTTGTCTGTCCCAGGCCACCACATCAGAGGATAATTCTGCAGAACTGTTCCCTCCCCAACAAACAGTAGCATAATCGTGCAAGAAAAGCTAGACTTGCTGGTGTGTCTAATGATGGGGTCGAAATGATTTGTTGGTTAGTAGAAACTGCTCAGCAAATGTGGTAATCGTAGCTACGGAGCTAATGCCAACCAAAATTCCTCCAATTAACATCTTTCAGAAGCAGACTTCCCCTAACCAAAGAGAAAGGCATGCGGGAACTTGCAAAGTGTCCTTGCCGAGAGAGGAAAACGTGTTTGAGAAATATCACCACAACCAGAAATGTGGAAACACCATAAAGACCCTAACGTTCTTTCACGAGAAGTAATAAAAGAGGAAATAGGAATGGTGACAGAATCTGGATCGGAGAATGAATTCCAACAGAATAATAGCGTGAAAAACTCATGGTTCAGGAAACTGTAGTGATGTCATGGGGTAATTGAATTTAACGCCGTCAGCCACTACTGCCCTGTCACAAGATAGACTTCGTAGTCTAGAAGAGTCTGGGGTACAGTAATCACATATAGGAAGTAGAGGAGACGCCAGACGGCCTAAAAATCCGCCGCGTATACACGCAATCAAAACTTGTCACGGAGTCCATGGCTCACTGTTGTTTTGGCTATGTCGGCTGGATTACTGTATCACAAATTCTTTCGTACGTCAAAATCTGTCTTGTTGCTTGTCAAAAATACAAGTGAAACACTGAGATGTCACGTTGGATGGTGTTGTGTCTAGCTCTGTTCCAACAGTGCTTCCATGAGCTATCCTTGCTGTATTCACGTGTATTAGTGGTGCTGTGACACTGCTGAGCAGTGAGCTCTTCGGTGTGTCCGTTTTAGATTAAATGCCTGTTCAAGACGGCAAAAACGGTGACTTGCAACTCTCACGGTTGACAGCTGCCCTGTAATGGGCGGCCATTTTTCTGTCGCATACGTACACTTGGCGATTATATTCCTGATGCGTTTAAAAAGACAATTCTACGCTGTCTCCGTTTAAGGGAGGCGCTACCTACTGTTATTCGAACGAGTTGCCGAATCACATTTTAAGCAAAAATCTCTTTTCGTCTCTCCCCAGTTCGGCAGACTGTTACTAATTTCCAGTAGAGTTGGTATGATTCCCTGATTTGAACCAAAGCTGAACCCTAAAAACATTTCTACGGACCCGAATAAAGGATAAGGATTCTTCGCGAACTTGATTTTCCGGTCAAACGCTGCTGTTTCGCCGAGGAGCCCTATGGGAAAGTTTCATACGATTGGCAATTTGTAGGGGAGAAACAAATATTCAGTACCCCACGGTAGAATTACAAAAATTAGCCCGTAAAATAAAATGCATTGAATGGAGAACATTTCCTTTTCACAAACATTTCCTTTCTCGGCATTCCTCCCTCCCAACTCGTATACACTAATCTTCCCACAACACAAATACGACGCATCGGAAGGACTCCGGGACGGATGATGGAATAGCTGGGGGTAACATTACATGACGCGCACTCGTTCGGACCAGGACCCATAGCCGCGACTACTGCAAGACTAAAGTGCCGTACTGAATTATCGCTTTTGTATTTGCGGGTAAAAATCGTGGGCAAGCGGGGTCTTGATAGTGTAAGGAATAGAGAACAAGGTGCCCGCAAGCGGGGTTCGAGTCCCGTCCAAGGTAGAAGATTCGTTCACAAATTGCCAATCGCATGGGACTTTGTGAGCTGCTATAAAGATTGTGAAACAAAGACTAGACATTTCACTGCACCGAGCAATGCAACGACTACTACGTGACATTATTTAAAAAGAAGTATGTAGTACAATGGCATGAGAGTCTCAACTTACAGAAGATCGCCGCGGCATTCGTTTATGACGTCAATAGCTTTCTTTTGTTCTTCTTCGTCGAAAAGCCATAGAACGCACACTGTTATATGCATTTTGATGGGCGATGTGAATAGCTCAGCCTTACGCGATTCCTCCTTTAATTAATATTACAGCTTAAGAAGACTAGGATATAGTGATAGAAATCTGTCTTGTAGAGCGGATGCTCTTCATATAAAAAGCCTTTCATGGAACTGAAAGCCTCAACATAATTGTTCTGGTACAACTTACCGGAACTCTTGGATTGTTTATGACAGCTTCTTTGAACAATTCGAAAGACTGAACTATTTCTGATTGTGCACATGGAACCGCTACAAAATGTGTGAGAGGAGCCTGAATTATTTTGAATTATTTAATGAACTTAATTCAACTTTTTCAGTACGAAAAAATCCTTCCAATAAAACCGTCCAATTGCTTGCAGTTTCTCAGGTTATGTTAGAAAAGAAAAACGTGAAGTATAATATAAATGCAATGGAAAGAAAAGGAATCGTTGCGCTGTTCCATCGAGTGACACGAAACGTTGCCCACTATGACGGGAAAAGAGAGAAATACAAGGAGCAAAATAATACTAAGAAGCAAAAAATAAGATTAAAGAGCAGGAAATATGAATTGGAAACGGAAAGCAAATAATCGATCTATCCTTCTCCTTTAAAAGCCGTGCACAAGGTAGGTTATATCCGCACTCCAGGTTCATTTAGCCGTATTCATGTTAAAAATGAAAAATAAAGATAAAGTTAATATCCCAAAAAAATTGGAACCTGACTCTAGCAAATCAATGAACTTTAAGGGTAGAAATCGCGCACATTTGAAAAATTGGTGCAAATCGGTGAGAGCCTCACGGATTCCTTTTGATCGGGAACATTCCTAGGAGCAGGAGGTCAACTACTCACCGTCTTTCTTGCTTCCGCGACAAGGAATTCTATACGATCTAGACAACGCTGCACATTCTCGAGGCCAACGAAAGACTTGATCTCTCAAAAAGGAAATTTTATAAGCAAGTAAACAATAGCAGAGATGATCAAACGAGTGGCTCACCAACGTTTCCTTTTTGGCCTTTTCGAGGGATTGTTAGGCGGCATTCCGTCGACTCTTCCAATTCTCGCCTGGTTGTCCCACGCGTACCAATTAATTTTCCATAGAACGCACTGGGGACGTAGATTCTGAAAGATAAAATGGAGTTGTCACTTTCTTTCAAGCAAAAGGAACGATGATTCTTATGTATTGTATGTATATTCTTCAAACTTCTCAGCGAATACAACGGAATCTACCAAAATAGAGTGGCCTTCGTTGAATGCAACTAATATCTTGAATTCAGAAAAGGAAATTGGCAAGATCTAACATTTCAAAAGATAAAACAAAAAATTACAGCAGCACCAAAAGACCATGGATAATCGGCAAACTGCAAGGAGCATTTCAACCTTCAATTTGTACCACCTCCACTATGGTCATATGAATCTTACCCAGGGCCTGATAACCATTTCTAAACTGCTTCTCCACCAACAGCACGAGAAATAACATTCCCAGATACGTATGTTGCCAGAGGTTTACAGAACTAGTTATCGTGACTTACAGGAATTCATGTGTGGGACCAGACGATCTACTTTGTTCGGTGATGGGATGGTAGGATACCTGTTGTAGAATGATCCGGGCGTGCCAAACACTTCTAAATTAATCCTCAAGAGAGTAATTAAATGAGGGGTGGAGCTATGCACATATGTCTAAATATAACAGAAGGTAAGGGTACAGTAAACGCGATAGATGGGTCGTTTCCAATGATATACCACCACGAATACTACCAACTACCTATACCATTGTTTACATCAAATTTAAATATCAATTAAAAAAGCTCACTCTGCTGTGTATTTCGAACCATCATATGAGACCCTGGGATCACTGTCGCATAGTTTCAGTGCGGGGTCCGCTGGTTCTTCGTCATCACCCGACAGCTGTCGCCCTCGTTTCGCTGGAATAACTAAACAAAAACGAATAAGGACATCTGAATTACATGGACACGAATACGCGATCACTTGCATGTTCAGGGATATCACAAAATCGCCTGCTGTAGGCCAAAACTGACAGCCTCACCATCTGAACATGAAGGGTCTTCGTCATCATATTCATCTGCGTACACATCTGGCGTATCTCCAACGTCTTCGGCTCGCTTGCTGTCATTCCTTTTATACGCGGTTCGGCGATAAACACGATTTCCTATCTTGTACGTTTCTACATACAACGGAAACGACGACATTTGAATGGAACACCTTTGAGTAGGAACGAGTGAAATTCCTGTAACGAACAGTTTCAATGATTCCTACAAGAATTCAGAGAACACAAACAAATTACTCATACGAAAAACTCAATGGACAACGGTGACACTATAGAAATACCTGTGCGGTACCAAAGGTCTTAAAATAATTCCATCACTTTTCATTTTGCTATTAGCTGTAAAATACCACGTTCTAGATGCATTGAAGTAAATTGTCGTAAAAGCGAGATTACGCTAAGAATTTGGAACTGCAATGAGTTTGCCTTGTTAAAAATGAGATTAAAAATGAGAGAGAATGAAAATTGTTAAAAATAAGGAACGGGAATTCGGTACAAACAAGCCGCTCGTTATGTGACCGTAAGATGACATAAAGTTTAGGGAATGCAAAGTCACACACCCAAAATATTTCCTTCCACGTCATAACCTTATTGAGCATCTTCATAGAGCGGCGCTTTTTTCGTGCCGAGATACCTTCTTAGGGGAGATAAACTTCACCTTTTCACGTGCAATCGCAAAACAGGATTTTATACCCTCCCTTAGTCCGCTAGCCCGTTCGCTATACGCCCGCACCGTGTAGCTTCAGTTACCGACTTGCGAGGTATCGATCGAAGGCCAGGGCCGAGGTAGGCGTCTTGACGCAAGAAGTATGACCGCGCTTATTACATACACAAAATCTCAGCCGGTGACATCTGCGACGCATTGGAAAGAGACCCAGGGCAAAGACAAGATGCATGCAAACGATTTAACCGCGATTATGTTGCAGCGCGATCACTTGCTGGAATCAGAATTCACACATAGATTACTGTAAGAATGCGAATGCCTGCTGAATTTTCCTCTCAGACCATAGATTTATCGATAAAATCATGATTAGGATATTCTAGGCTGTAATCATATCTTAGTCAAAGGGAGAACAATATTTTGTTGGTCATACTGCTTTATGTAAAAGAGAGACATGTTAGAGACACAGAGCGAGTCTATCTGGGGACATGGCTCAATGTCAAACATAACAGCAGTTCTACTCAGGCCATCTTCGCCAACCCATCTCAGTATCTTGGGCGCTGTGGGCAATTGACATTGCGTTGGTGGGAATCGATGTGCCCACCAGGGCGTTACGTTGGTTAATAAGATCCGTGTTAAGTCGTTCTTTGAAAATCAATATTGTAACAACTGCAAACCATTTACTTTAATGAGGGAAATAATGAGAGGGTGGGAGGAGAAAGAGCTTGATTCAACGGTTATCTCCTGAATCGTCCTGTCCAAAAAGCAAACTCATAGCTATCTCTACTGAGCTTCACAATCAATTACAGCTCCTACAATTTCAGGTAGAGCTCTTCTTGGAACAAGGCTACATCCCAGAAGGGGATAGGTAAGTTAAACAGAACATCGTACAACGAAGCGCAAGATAAACCAGCCGGTGAAAAGCTGAGGAAAAAACGAGACAAGCTCAAAAGTTTGATAAATTCTCAGCAAAGACGAGATGAAATGTGGGAACCAGAATAACTCACTTGCAGATGACCTATTCGCCGTCGTACTCAACTATGAAGCAATTGGTTGAACAGAAGTAAGTTAAGACGACAGATCAACGTCATCAAATGACCTAGAGATATCTTACTTCATAAACTTTATTACCATGAGCATTTTTTTCACAAAGTAAAATCACAGTCTGAAACGTCAATTTGATGATATAAAAGCAGGTAGGTAGGTATCTGTAAGAGAATGTTGACAACATTTGAAAAACTGCAAAGGAATGGTTATTGCACTTGGATCGCCTAAAGTATAACAACTTCCTATAAGCTGAATTAAGTAGATACAATCAAAAAAAAATCAACAATGGGGTTAATCAGAAGCCTAGCTGAACTGTATCTCTTAACGATAATATGGCGACTATTCATTGACCATAACACATTTATGGCTACAAATACCTACAAATCAGCTACTATATTAGCAATCGATACTAATGCACGTTCAATTTCGTCTTCCGTCATTTCCGATTGGACCATCACGCGAGCGCTGGAAGCAGAAAAAACATTCACTTTGAAATTGCTCAGATTACTGCGTTTTAATCTATCAACGTCCACATCGACCATGGTCCTCCGACTTAGAAACCTGGTTCCCTACTTGGACCTTATGACCCTGCTCCGCCCCGCTTAGGAAGATTACTCCTGTGTGGGCATAAATGACGACGACGATGAAGAAATTAGAAAATGAAACAGTTCTTATCCATAGTGCTTTAGAGAAGATTTGTTACGTCGGAAGAATTTCAGGGGATTTTCATTTCGTCTTTTGTTTCCAAGTGGTGTAATTTCAGTTATGGTTAGAGGGATGATGAACCTGGAAAGTAAAAAGCGCGTTTTATCGAACTCACAAACTAATCAAGCGTTTTTTTCGACCATAACCCCTTTCATAGTCCCGTTCTTGATATAGCGAGCCTATCGCTGATTCAACTGTTGTCAGCAAAGCCCCATCAGAACTACAACTCAAACATCTCATCTCAGTTACTTCTTTGCAACTACAACCTACACCGTCGTGCAACATTATAGTCCTCTGAAAACAATCCTTCTTAAAAGCAGCGTACGTCGAACGTAAACAGGTGTATGCTTCTCATAAAAAGCGTAAGTCGAGCATACCTAGGTGTAATTGGATACATTTCGTCTCGTTCCAAATACCGGGCACGCGTGATCATTATCGATGCGTCGTCGAATAACTGAAGTCAAAGAGAAAACAGTTTCGAGTTTTTGAAATTTTAAAATGCAAAAGATATAGAAAAGAATAATATAAGCTTAGGGGCGGAGGTGTGATAGGGCCTTGCTATGGGTTACCACACGTATAGCCATGGGATCGAATTTCAAAACAGTACACCTGAACTATCAGAGTCATCCCGTTTCTAAGGGTTGGTTTATTAGTAACACACTCATCTAAAAAAAAAACAAAAACAAAAACATTGACTTATTCGCTAATTGGCCCCTAAGGTCATTATATGGGCCAAATTCCCACACGACTGTCAGAGAGTTGGGAAAGAAGACGTGGGTGTCTTCTCAAACGACACACTATTATTGGCATCTTTCAAAGTCCACGACCGGTCGCTAGCGACTGGCGACCAGTCGCGCGATCAGTCGCGCGNTGGACTATGAAAGATGCCATTTCTCAAACTTCAATGTAGCCCGAGCTAATGCAAGTATGAACGCTATAATCAGGATAGCCGTTAAAAATAGCAAGCCATAAAAATCATAAAAGTAAGCCATAGCCATAAAAATTGCATTATTGACGATTTAGTGTATTCCGCTTATTGAACTCTACAAAAATGTAAATGTTCAGAGTAATAGTGATACCTTGTCAACAAGCAAATCCAACTTCTTTTCGGCTTCTTCACCCTCATAAATGATGTGCTTCATCGGACTGAGCTCGAATCCTTGTACAGCAAATTGGGTGTTCTGTAGAGATATTACATGAACATTTGTATGAGAAAAACAACAACGGAGAATTACTGCCGATGGCACTGATTTGAGTGCACCTCAAACCACAGAAGTATGATTGCCGGAAAATCAGCCTATCTGACTTGAAGGAGCCTCCCGAGCTACTGCTATCAGAAGCTCACTCAGCTCAGATGGCATCATTACACTTACATTTATATGAGTAACAGAACCCTATCAATGAAAACAGACGGATTTTGAGTCAATACGATGGCTTCGCTGAATGCCGACTTTTCGGTACTATTGAGTCATCTGGATACCTTTTAGCTCTGTACCATAGAAGCTGAGGAACGAGGAGATTATATAGCAGCTTTATTTGAGAGTTCTTATGAATCAGCCGATCTGAGAGCGTCAGGAAAACTATTTCAGATCTAAAAATGGGTGCGTCGCTTATAACGGCTGAGTTATGTACCATGCTGGTCGCGAGGCCTGACTAAAATGTGGAAATGGGAAAATCAGCAAATTGTGAAGTACGGCGAGCCTACACTCTAGCCTGAATCGTTTCCAGTGATTGCGTAGAGTTTCTAAGACCCATAAAAATTGATAGTTACAGCTATCGGAAGGCTATATCCCAATTCCAGATTGATGAAATCTGGTCAGGATGAAGTCCGAGAAATCTTACTCCGACGACCTTTCCTGCCACTTTGATAAGAAGGAATACTCACTACAAATGCAGCCTCAAGACCCCTATGCACAGCCGTGGCAAGTCGCTGAACTCTAGCCACTCGTTCTGGTTCTTCGTCGATAATTCGCAGTCCTTCGCTGGCGGCTGTCGCCAATAACGGTGGCAACGATGCAGAAAAGCAGTATCCGAGACCTGAAATAGCATCAATTTCAACATTTTCAGCTTCATCCAGAACATTCGCTTTTTCCGCTCATGAACAGCTATAATTTCAAATAACTATGCGTTTGGTTTGGACTGTGAATCACTGTGAAGTGTACTAGCAGCTGTTCAGTTTAACTCCTTTTTATTCCCCTGTAACATGAGAGGAGAGTTACTTGAATTTCAATACAAAAACTAAGGAAAGCTCGATGGACTTGAGTTTCGACGTTGCTCGGTTGGTGTTTTTTGAGTGGAACTAACCGGAAAGTCGTTGATGGCCAACAACATAGGAACGACCGACGCAGAATCCGCCGGTAGATGCCATAGCGTTCTCCAACGATGCCATCACCATGTCCACATCGATAATTGGAACACCGAAATGCTCTGTTACACCTGTAAACAAGATATGGTCGTAATAGAAATGCCTCGAACATTGTCTATAAAGGTGTTGATATATTTGATTCCTTAAAAATCGAAGGTAAACAACACACCCTAAATGCCGCGTGCTAGAAGAACAAAGGATAAGAATGAAAACTTTGGTGCTAATCAAACCTATTTTTAGAATGCGTTCCTCATTCTACTTCCATTCAAAATCGTAGCGGCGTTATGTATGTGTATGTGGCCTATTCAGTGACTCACGGGGCCAGCCTATGTATATGGCATGGCCAGCCGATGTATGGAAGTCAGTGCTTCTTACCTACCAGGCAGGTCTGGTACCAATCCACCGACCCCGGAGAGATGGAAGTCTTGTAAGGACTAGGCGAGCATTGATTAGGAACTCGATCCGCGAACCTTGTGCGTTACTTCCTAATACACCCCTCCGCTCGGGATAGAAATTGTTATCAAGCGCAGCGTAGCGACACAAATTAAATACAGCCAAGTCCGTTTCAGGTCATTGCAGGCCTCATGTTGCTAGCACACAGCAGATGTCAGAGATATCCATGCTTGATTGTTGGACCTAGGACAATCTTCAAGGTTCAAAGCCCGCTTTGAATTAGTTCAGTCTCTTTCTTACAATACGAGCGTAGAACGTCGGTCCATATATTTTAGTCGCTTTGATGATGCTTAGGATTATTTTGAGGCTCTTCTCGTACTCTGCATCAAGACATATAAATTGTCCTCACCCCTTACTACCTATGCCATTCATTCGACTAGTTAACACGTAGTTCCGTGAACTTCTTTTCCCAGAAGGAAAGGGTTGCAACAGCTGACCGACAACCCTTGTCACATGCATGTCTCCAACTGTCAATCGCTACTCATCACCCAAACCGGAACATGTTCTTTCAGGGTTCCATGACAAGCGTTGAAAGCTGTACGACCTTGTCTACGACAACGATCCTCTACGAAAGCCACATGAATGACTTCGTCGAGCTTTCACAAATCTTAAAAATAACACATAACACATGCAATGGGCATGCTTTAACTATGACCCTTCAGATTTTGCCAAATCTCACGCGAGAGGAAAAAAGTGACCGGGACAGACTTCTGTCTATCTTCTACTTTTTTCTCCCTCTCAACTACGCAACGTCCTGACGCCACGAAGACCACACAGCGCAAGATGCTGACGATCAGCTCGGGTACAGTTTCTATCCACTACCATAACCCCGTCGACCACGTTGAAGAAAACTACACAGACCCCCTACTTAGGAGGGAGGAGAACTGCTCTCTTGCTCGTTCGTTGGCTGGATGGCATAAATACTAATAGTCAACATATCATAGACTGAACCAATTCATAAAAAAATCGCAGAAGAATCCAAAACATGCACCATTGCACCCCAGAACATTTGCACCAACATAATCGGAATAGAGCAACATAATGATTGCTCAAAGAGAACTGGTTTTGTTGGTGGTTCGACACTAATCATCCTACAGGTCGTATAAATATATCATATTTCAATCCAAACCGATTGTTAACTTCCAAAACGACCACTTCACCCCAAATCATCTTTTTGTGAGGCTGAACCTCTACGAAACCTTTCATATGCACCGTCACGTCTCCGTCTAAATATAAAGTGGAGAGAGATTGGAATGGTACAGTTCTTCCTGTGGGAACGGCAAAGGGACCACTAAAGAACACCGTATGCCAATGGATGGATTCTCGCAAACAAATTCCGATCAGGTTTGAAAATTTATTTCAAGAGTTTATTCAGTTGACAGCAAACTCTTCTGCTAGGACATGGAAAAAATCCTGCCTGGTAAAGCTGCCTAACTCAAGATCAAGGATAACAAAGGTATATATCCTGCAACAGTTCCCACTTAGACACCATGTGCATGGCGTATCCTGAAGAGTACATTAACGTGCACCATAGCCTGATCACCATGCACTACGCCATGGTCGTAAAATCCATTCCAAAAAAATTAAAATGAATTTCGCTATCGAAGAGTACTGTATCATGACCCTTCCTGACCCCATGCAAGACTTAGTGCTTTTCACAGTGGTAGTCTACCCACTTGTCCGAGGTACGGTAGCGACACTGGCTGGTATTACCGTACTCGCCTACCCAAATCTCTGGTCACAGTGCCCAAAACTCGAATGCATAGCGTTTTCAAGAAGAATAGCCCTCTCGTTCTTGTCGCACCCGTGATCTGAGGAAATGGGCCAGTTTTCTTGGAAACACTATGGAAAAAGTTTTCAGCTGATGAACCCCTCAAGAACAGAGATCTGATCTGACTACGTGTTACAAAGCGAGACAGACTTGAACGGCGACAGTTCTTCAGGAAATTCTTTTACGGACGTCCACAAATTGAATCAGTTCTTTACAGAAAAAGCATCACCCTATTAGTTTCCGAGGGATTCTTCAGACAGAGGAAAAACATGTGCTCCTTAATTCAGACAATTGAATTAGGAACTCATGTTCCACGTCGTTCTCTGAGACTTAATGTGTGTACTTTTCCATGTGACCATTTACCCGACCATGATCACTGGGACGCACAAACAATACAGATCGGGCTATCTATTCATGTTATGACAGTTATTTGTTTCATGTCGTCTTTGCCGAACTAAAGCATTCATCATATAAGTAAAAACTGAATCGTGCGAAAAGACTGGCACTAAAGGGTGATAAATTAATAGCGGCAGTTCACACGACTGTTGATTTTCAAAGGCTTGACATAATAGTACTTCAGTTATGTACGTCCCATGAATGAACCAGCCGTATATCTCTTTTTTGCAACTTTTTAACTCATGGCGCACTCAAAACCCTACAGTCGCGCTTGGTTCGATTTGGCCCACAACCACGCAAGGCTGGTAATTTCCTGCTAGACAACTCCGGAGTTTCTCCAGCCCAAATTCCTCCAGACATCCCTTCCACAGCTTTGCATTAATCATGCACTTGAGGAGCAAGAGTGGAATCGGGAGTAGAAGAGGGAAAACCGTTTCCGAAGTCTGAAAGCGCTTCTCCCGACGATGCTCTATAGGCACCATATGAAAGTCTGTTTGATGCATGCATAGTGAATTCGAAGTCGGATCCATTTCCACAAAGCATACAGAAATGCTCCAATATTGAAGCAGACTGTGGAAACCGATTCCTGATACCATATTGTACTCATCCTGGACCTGGATCGTTGCATCCTATGCAAAAACGATTGCTTAGAGCGATTGCATTCGCAGCATCTCGATAACTTTCATCTGTAAAGGTAGCTCCCATCAAGTTGTTCTTATAAGTATACTCTGCACTGCCATGACTATGCCATTCGCACTTGTAGTCCGTTGGGTACACACGTCAGCCTTATAAGAAGAGCCATAATCTTCTTGCAAAGTGAACTTGCTATCCTTTTGGGGAATGGTTATACACGACACTTCAAGACCTATTAAACAGCCTACTGAAGTCCAGGGGAAGGTGTGAAGTTTTCCGTACCAGGAACAGGCTGGATTCTGATACCGTGATGGAGAGAAGTAAGAACAACTATAAAGTAACCTTTCCCACGTGCTCTCTAGGGGAACTCAAAGAACATCCAAGTCGGTAAGGTCAAAAAGGCGTTCCCTAATGAGTCCCTGCACATGACCACTACTAATGTGGGGGTGTTAAATGTACAGGGAAGATAGATTGGACATTTTAATGAATTCCACCACGTGATTTTAACCTATGTATGAGTTCAATTTATGATACGATTATGACGTAAGGAAGTGACGTCGACAGGACTCCGCCTCCAACTTAGAGTCACAGGTGAGCAAATGGCTGTCATCCGCTCAAATACATTTAAAAGGCCTCTCACCCCAGAGCTTGAACATCATTTCAACAAAGCTTTTCGTGAAGTAAGAAAACGTTCCCAGCTATTAATCCCTGATATTCTTAAAGCAGTACTTCCGAGGTATTCCATCCGGACACACCATCCAGAAGCGGAATCACCATAACTCACAACCGTTCTCTAGGAAGTGACATATTCCCTTCAAACCAGTTATGAGTTTTGAAATTCCGCTTATCGCCTGACGTTATCCCTTAGTATTTTGCGATTGTTGATCAACTTTATCCACATAATCCTCTATGCGGAGAGGTTGTTTCATTTCGTTTATTGTGAATTGTGCTTTGGCCAATTTCAATGCAGACAGGTAAGATGAATGATACTTTTGCCCTCGAATCTTTTCTGTAGACCCAACATCGAGCCAATACTTCTATTCAGCGAAAATGTTTGTTTGATCAGCCTTCTATAGCGTATTCCCACACAAAACGAACAGAATTTCTATTCACACTTTGTTACACCATCCTCTTTTGTATCCATAGGATTTACTGCTGTACCAACAAACAACCTAACATTTCCGCCAAGAATCAGGTACAAATGGCAAGGTCTTTGACTCCATCAACCTTGCCGGCGGATCTAGCCGTTTCCGTTTTATTTTCAGTTAAAACTCCTTACATGTCGTTTGTCGTTTTCTTCTGTTTCCACGCTTCTCAAACTTAATGCGAAGCTTCCTGTCGCAAGCGATTACCCAGCGCACTTGAAAGGGTTATTCGATGATGCGCTTCGATTCCTCTGCCAGAGCTAGTAAATCGCGTTTGCAGGTGACCACACCCACTCTTCCTTCCTAGATGGAATGATCTGGATATCCAGAGCATAACTGATTGCTACTGATCTTCAGCAATCGACCAGTTCAAGACGAAGTGGTATGAAAATGAGTTGATGATCGAGCAACTCAGAAACCCTCAGTAATCCATGCGACCATGAAATGGCCCAACGACTGAAAGGATAAGGGCTACCAACTGCCAGAGGGGAGGGAATACATCGAAATGAGAAGTCATTCAAACACCTATCGAGTCCTTGCACTGATATCCTGCAGCCAAGTCCAAGTTTTAGTCAGCAAGCGCTGCAACCAACCCAGTTTAACATCATAAACCCAACACCCAATCGAAATGAAAGACCCTTTTTCAAACTGCCACGTGGTGAGTGTGTTCTTGCAGCCACTGCATATAATCCCACTTCTGATGTCATTCGAAAAGGCTGTCACGCCATCTGTAACCCATTGAACTCATGCTCTTGCAGTTAAAGCCGGGTTTAGCACCAGTCGTGATCCCGCCTGCTCCTGAGCGACATAGACATTACAGCACTTCCTTTCTGTAACGCCCAGTTACAAAGCAAAAAGAATTCTGCAGGAGTGCAGCCAAGAGGTCCAAGCAGCGATGATAATCTACGATAATCGCACTCGAGAGTGATATACTGATTGAAATTTCCCGTCGGTAGAAAGCGGTACGAACTTCCCACACGTAGCAACCGCTCAGGGACCACCGATATTTTGTAGTTGATTGAGCCCACTGGAATGTGAGCCTATTTTGGAAAACCGGATGGAACGTTTAACGATGGGCAACCACCGTGCTCCTATCAAACGTTGATTTGAATTCCATATGCCGACCATATAGTCAATGGAGAGATGGGCCGTTTCGGGGTTTCTTGTTTCTTGGTTCCTCGTTGAAATCTCGGCCTCTATCCAGTCCCACCCAGAAGTTCACCTTCTCCGCAGCTCTTTGATTCTATGGTTAAGGATCCCTGAAGTAGGGAGCTTACATCTAAAAGCCGCATCGGTACTATCAGACGGATGTCAACGGAACGGCAGCACTTGCCACGTGCCCTTTCATGCTCCATCACCATCAATAGCTCAAACATTGCCGGACATAAAAACTACTCTGCCATGCTAATCCAATTTGACAGGAATCATTTGTATCTGTCATTCATGTGAGTTTATATATGAGAAAACGAATTTTCTCACCTTTCTTCTGCATAATCGATATCAATCTCTAACATTGCTTTTTGCAAAAATGTTTTGAAATTCCGAAAGCAATTTGGCAATTCATATTTACATAAAAACGATTGAACAGGGTATTCATTCCTATTTAAAGACTGGCTCTCTCACGGTTTCTCCCTCGATTTTCCTAGTTTCACGATGAACTTTCCTCGAAAATCTTCGAAAAAATGGGAAATTTCTACGGGATAGCGTTACCGCTAGGGAGGTCCCTATTGAAGCACCTTTTATGTATTGAATAAAGCTCATACTGCAATCTGACAACATCCATTGCATGGAATGCCATTTCAGTCCCTCCAAAGACCTCCTAAACAGGCATGGGAGAATATACGATACAAACTTGATATGGACTACCATTGAAGTTTACTTTTTGCAAATGTGTAGGGCAAAAGAATCAACCATATCCAATAACTCAAGCCCTTTTACGCTCCAATACCCGCCCACGTCACGAGTCCCGCCCATGACACAAGCAAATGCACCGGGGTATGTTTTTTGTTCTATCAAGGATCAGACTCCCATACTCCAAAGGGTACCTAATAAAGCCGATCTTGCCAGAAAATTAACCCATGATCAAGGTTCAAAAACGAAAGCTGCAAAGGAAACCCGTAAATCAAACGATGTCAAGTGTAATCACCTAGCAGCATTAGCGCCATTTATCATTGAATCTGACCAATTTATTATCTAAATGTCATGTTTAGTGATAAATCTATGTTTATATTTGATTTAGATCCAATTGGGAACAAAGCCATGGGTGCCACACTGTCTAATGTTGAATCAATTGTACTGATCACAGCACTCACCCCACGTGGTCGACCTTTCCCGATCACGCCTGGCAATTTATGAGCGCATGTTTGGGGGTATACTGTGATCAGTAGTGACATGCAAAGACCCGGGCCGTGTTCTTTGCAACCATATGGGGATACAAAGTATCACCTTCTCTGCAATTTAGTCACAAAGTACGACCAAAAGAAGGAATGGCCATCTCAGGCTTATGAATCGAATCCAAAGATCATAGGTGAAGCTATTCTCTAGCCAACTCCCTAGCTTATGCAATCGGATCGCTAAAAGAGAAATATAATTGCCCACAAAGAGAGCGTTTCTCTCATTTCTGCGAATTTCTAGCTAATCCATAACTAGAAATCTCACATGCGAGGCTTTCACTTGCATCGGACGATTAGCTTGCCACCAACCAAAACCACTAATTATTTCTTGGAGAAACTTTTCGACCTTTCAGAACTGAACTGGATGACGTACGTGCCTACCTAATGTGCGTAAGATTTGCCTTGTCCTTCCCAAATCATCCTCGTCATGAACACGTGTTTTTCTCAGTACGCCATGAAAGGCATACAATAAAAGCGAAACCCGTTCAAGATGTCATACCGCCCTCTCCTCGTCGCTGATTACAAAAGTATATTTAAACCGTGAATTTTGTTCATAACAACTGCTCCACTTCCAGCTACGGTATATATCTTTGCAGGACCATAACGATTTTTCGCTCTCTAATACTCTGATCTACATACTAGTAATATTTCATCGGACTTCACTCCTGATTAACAAGCACTGGTGGTCAAGCTTACGATAACCTCGTAAATATACCTTGCAACTATTGAAAGTAATCAAATAGGTAGTTGGTCTATTAGGGCGCCTGCAACTCGCTGCTAAGTATGCACCCAGTCAGCACCAAATGTACCCAGTCGGGAACGTGACAGAAAAAATCACCTTACTCAAGGTAACAGCCCAAAATGGTTGGGGGATTGTAGGGCAATGGCCCCAGACTACGTTCGTTGGGAGGTGAGGATAATAGGACTAACGCCATTGATTTTCTTTTTGGAAAGAGAGCAATCTTAAAACTAGATTCCTATTTAATTAAAGAGGCCGAAAGGTTGCTGGGCTTCCCTCTCTTACTATTTTGCAGAAATATGGGGCATCCCGTCGATTGTGTGATTCACAGACGAGTGAATGTCTCATACCCTTCCATGGCAATAGGAGGAGTCATCTCACACCTCGGAATCTCTTTGAAGGGGAAGCATACGCATGGCTTATCCGGAATATTGGTCAGCACCAAGCTCTGCTCTTCGCGAAGAAATCCCCAAAACGAGGCTGTGGAACCGTAGATCAGCTACTCAGCCCTTCAGAACGCTCAGACAGTGCAGAATTTCTCGATTCCATATTACGACATTGAATTTAACAGCATGTTGGCTTTTTTTCCCCAGTAGGGAACCTGTTTTACACCAGAATTGAACTAGCTAAACCAGACATCTCAGTCATATTGCGGTAGCACGTACGTCTACTGAAAAGTGAAAGTGTTGCTGGGAAACTCAGTTTTCTGGAGACCAGTCAATATCACGATCTTTGCTACAACCCTATCAAGGTCTTGGGAACTACCAAAGCTAGACGTCCCAGGCATTTCGAAAAAGGATCAAGAATCTCTCCTGGAACTTTCCCTTTATCGTGGTGCGCTTAAGAAAGAAAGCATCTTTCGAGACGCGTGATGCTTCTTATCATGATTTTTCTACATGCCAATTGGAGTTGTCTCTAGTCTGTTATCAGTTCGGTCAAGATTGAACTCAACCCTTTGCTGTTCCTGTTATCGCTTACTACATATACGTGATTTGCGATGGATTATGCACCACACACTGCCCCATACCGACCGAAACGATCNACGATCCGATCAAATCCTTTCAGTGCTAATCATAATTCTACAAACATAGGAACATAGACATAGGTAACCGTTTACTAGCCAAACCAGTTCATCTGTTAGTCTCTGATTGACGTACCCACAAACACATGATCGGAACGAATTTTGTTACGTAATTTGATTAGTCGCCGTTTTTTTCCTTTAACATTCATTAGCGGAGAAACTAAACAAGGTGCCACATGTGCTTTTTCCAGGCAACATGAGACACCACGGAAGATCACTTGCCTGGTGCCTATTTCTGGCTTTCATCGCTAGCTTATTCGCATCACCATCACCACGAAATAACAGTCGTCTCAGCTTGCGTTCTTTGGATGATACATTTCTGATGTCGGAGAGACGGGAGAATGTGAGTTTACGGTAACTATTTGGCCATAACTCGGTTATGAAAAAACACAAAAAAGAAAATAAAAATGGGTGAGAGAATAGGTCAGTGCATATCTCGCACGAGTCCAGCGAACCACTGCTCTTGCCCCTGTCTACATAATAATTTAAACTGGTAAAGCTTACAAGCGGTCGTCATCGACAAGCATAAATGACCCAAACAACCCAGATAAGCGAACCGAATCGCGGAAAAACCGTTCAAAAAGCGAGTGCCTAAGCAAGCAGCCGGAAAGAGTTGTGTAGAAAACAACTCGCCACGAGAAAACCCTGATAATGTAGATACTAGGGCTTTTTCGTGGCCAGGTGGGTATGCTTGTAATTTGGGAGTCATTAGTGGGGATTGTCACTCCTATAGTTTTTTTTTTCGTTTCCTGGCAATGCACTGATCCTAGTATCGATTAAGCACTATGGGGTACTCAGCATTTTCTACCACACGAGTTCAGTAGGCCCATCTGCGGGAACCATGGCCCCACCAAAATATTTTACAATGAATGCACACTTAGTTGAGGTGATTATGCACGACCGCATGTAAATGCGATTGAAAAAAGACAAATATGCAAATATGATAAGCCAAAAGATATACTTCCGTGTTTGAGTAGAGAGGAGCCAACTACTGCCTAAGAAACCCATACAGCATTTCGAACCCTTAATTAAAAAATCCGATAATTCGATGTACTTTCTTTGATATTATCAAAAACCACGCCTTATTTCCCCTTTGCGTGCTTTAATCTTTCTTATACTTTCATTTGAAGTACCCCTNAGACCACAACAAAGTGTTCAACAGGTGAAAAAAGGAGAACGAAGCATAGCATAATCGGATATAATGCTAGGCCTGTCAATTGACATTTCCCGAAAACGGCGAATTACCCATTACCAGGAGAATAGTATACCATCGGGGAATTACCCTTTACCAGGAAATGTAGTATACCAAGCCCCTTTCGCTCCACCAGAACCGCTTTCCGCCACTTTCATGAACGATTCATCAGAATGGAAGGAGGCATCATAGATAATAGTGACGTGATTCGAATAGCGTGCATTATGTCTCACAGCGCACGTCATAGCATATTGGGCAGAATGCCATTTGCAGAAGTCATCGCTCATTCTAAAGCATCAGGTAGAATGCTTTGGGACTCGAACATTGCTCTCGTAATCTGAGATTTTACCTACGACATTCGCAACATAGCTGAGATGCATTCCCATTAAACATATTACCGTACACGATAGATGAAGTTCCCAGTCTTGGCTGGCTGACTGTTTTTGATAGTAACAACAGGATTCTTGCCGTCCTTGGCCAGAATAAATGCGACATCAGGTGTATGAAATCCAGCAGTGCCCAGCTACCGATCCTTTCATATAGGTAAGAAGCGCTTGGTTCGCTCCGGAACAACTACAATCCTTTCCCTGCGACCCGTGTACGGTCTGAGTAACTTGTGAAGCACTTGGGATCATTCCTTCGCGCTACTGTATGGCCATAGAACCTTGACGTTCGATACTGTCCCCTGGTGTATTTGCCAAGACGACATCGTTGCTTATGTCCGCTTGAATGAGGCGTTGAAGTATTAATGCGCTAATCTTGTAGAACACAATTGGAAACATTTTCGTCCCTCGACAAAACCCAGGTGTTCCTGACGAGACAGGGATCACTTCATTACAGCGATCCTAGAAATTACCTACTCTTCAACTTTTCTTGCAAAAAATGGGCTCCTTAAGGCCACCCCTCTATGCACTTTAAGTCAACAATTAACAATCAATTTGAGATTGAACACATAGCGAAAAACACCTCCACATGGAACTAAAAACGACCTTTCAGATTCGTCGTGATGATGATTATGATAGGAAAATAATCACGTGGAAAGGCAGATCGATCAAAAGGGACACAGTCCAGACCTGCGACCAGTACAATGCTCCCGGTCGTTATATGGTCTATTGTAGTGGTAAACTGTTACAAGCAGTAATGGCCACTAAGCTCTACGAAGATTCGAAAACATTCGTTGATCAGCCCATGAAGGCAGGACGAACTGGAAGTCAAATTGCAAGAGATTTTGAGCGACTTTTTCCACAACCCGTGTCGCAGATCTCAAAAGCTGATGTTAAGCAATTTGTCGACGACAATTTCGATAAGGAAGGAGAAGAACTTCAAAGGTAAAACCACATTGAATAAGAAATCCACATTTCTTAAGGGTTTTGGTATTAATCCAAGCACTTTTCAGCTGCATACTGACTGATTGGGTGAGGTATCCGTCAAAATTGAAAGTGATCAAGGACAATAATCTACGACTTTTTGCCCTGAACCTGAACGAGATCTGGAAAGAGCTTTGCCGCAGAATCAAGCCCGAGGTGGCAGAGACACCGGAACGATTCTCACTACTTTATGTCCCTCATGAATTCGTTGTGCCTGGAGGACGTTTTCGTGAATTCTACTACTGGGACGCTTATTGGATCGTGAAAGGTCTGCTCATGTCGGGAATGACGGATACCACCAGAAGTATGCTTATGAACTTCGCTCACATTGTCAATACCTATGGATTCATCCCTAACGGTGGTCGTGTGTACTATCTACGACGATCCCAGCCACCGCTATTCATACCAATGGTCTATGAATATTATTTGGCTACAAAGGACACAAACTTCATTCGAGAAATGCTGCCAATCATGGAGAAAGAATTCCAGTTTTGGCAAAAGAATCGTACAGTAGACATTACTGTTAACGGCGAATCTATCACGATGTTTCAGTACAGGACTCCCTCCACAGTGCCAAGGTGATTTTTTTTGAAAATCTAAAGTAGAAGAGCACTCAAATGCCCTCTTCGACACTCATCCTTCTCTCCAAGCTTTAACACCAAGTTGATGTTCGTTTTGAAGAAGACCAAGTCAAATAGCAACTAATAGGGTCCTGAATCACCTTGACTGCCGATGTTTCAGGCCAGAATCCTACCGCGAGGACGCCCTGTCAGCTTCGAATATAAGTGATGACAATACTAGGCGTCAATTCTACCAGGACATAGCCAGTGCAGCTGAATCCGGTTGGGATTTCTCTACTCGTTGGTTCGCCGACAAAACGCTTTCCTCCATCGAAACTACCAACATTCTCCCTGTTGATCTCAACGCTTTTCTATGCTACAATATGCACATCTTAGGAGCTTTGCATGCCGAAGTCGGTAAGTACTTCCAACGATGCCTTTGCTAAAACTTGCTGATGATTGCGTTCCAAAAATATTAACTTCATTCAGGCAATGAACATAAAAGTTCATCATGGATCTCACAATATATAAAATTCCGTTCGGATTTCGAAAAAGCCTTCTATGTACCGAGTGCCAAGGGCTGGTACGACTACAATTTCCGCACACAACGACACAACACTGATTTCTATGCATCGATTGCTGTTCCTCTATTTACTCAATGCTATGAACCGCTCAGTTTGTCAAAAAGTGACGATTTATACAACAAAATGGAGGAGCTGGGCGCGTTCAAATACGTAGGAGGAATTCCAACAAGGTAGGCAACGATCTTCACTCTCAGAGAGAAGATTAAGTACCCATAGAAAAAAAATTCACTGAGATCCTTCCCTTAGACGATCCTACGACCCCAAGGATAACCTAAGGGAGTCGAGTCGAAAAACGGCCAAGATAGAGCGTAGCAAGAGCTCCGAAACCGGCTTAGCCGACATGAACACCCAGGACGGACGATTTCTTGAGCGTTGTAGAAGAAGGTCGCACAATGGCGCGCTTATTCGGACAGCTCGTCCAAATACCCATGCCGTGCAACTCCTGTCCACACATTCTCGTCCAACCCCGAATTTTACTTCTTCTTGGAAGTTTCACACTTCGCTAACCACGCTCATTTCCGGGTTTTCTTCGCCAGTTACTATCACCTCCATTATTCTTTTCAAACTGGATACCCCAAATTCAACGCTAGCTGTGCCTTTGAGCGCAAACATAGCTAACCAAATACATCTGCTTTCTGAAGCAATAGCCCTTGAACTACATTCGAAGCTTCTCCCAATGGAATCAAGACCCTTCAGAACTCGATGCGCTTTCCATAACCCTTCAATGCTAGAATGGGAGAGTCCATGAGAAGGATAATCCTCATTGTAGAAATGGCTTACTCTATAAGCCGATTTGTTTACTAACAACCAAGCCGTTTTAGGTCCTAAACTATGATTGTATCCCCTGATACGACACAGACCCAACTAGGCAGGGCTGATCGGTAAACACTGATCTGGATACACAAATATCGTCTATTACATCGGTTGGATGACTTCCATCGAATGCCTGATTGCCTAGGATATTGGCTCAGTGAACGCTATCTGATTTGGTTTGTCCTCCGCCATGACTGAGCAATCTCACTCTGAGCCGTGCCACTTGTTTACCCAAAAACTCCCAGTTCAAGGTAATTCCGACCAGGTTTAAACACTTACGCTATGGCTCTACTCGCGGAGAAGTACACTCCATCTTTCAGTTCTTTTCATACTTCCTTCGAGCCTCCTTTTTTAGTTGGTTAGTGCCCATTCCCAAGCGGCTTCTAACGGTGAATAGCGGTGAACACCGTATAACAAACATTTTGCCCACTGCTGAGTTTTTCAGCCTGGCGAAAAACCTACCAACAAGTTTGTAATGAATTTCTTCCTTTTAGTTTGCAAAAAGACGGTGAACAACAATGGGATTATCCCAATGGATGGAGCCCTCTGAATCATATGATTGTAGAAGGCCTCCGAAAATCCGATGACCCTAGGTAAGCCTTTTATGAACCTTCAATATGTTACCCACTTCTTGAATATGAAAATTTCAGGATGCAACAAAAGGCTTTCGTATTAGCTCGGAAATGGATACTTTCCAATCTTCACGTATACGAGAGCGATAATTCCATGTGGGAGAAATACGATGTGGTCTCTGCAGAACCCCGACTAGGGGGCGGAGGCGAGTATGTCGTACAGGTACGTCATTTAGCCTTCAAACGAGGTAAAAAAATCTATAGACTGCCGGGAAAGAGCGAACGAGAGCGGGAAGGAAATTCGTAGCGAAAAATCCTATTACGTGATTAGATACATGGCTGATTGTAAGAAGAAAGGGTGAACCTCTTTCTTCGAAGGCACCCCACCAAACTGAGTGAGAACTAATTCTTAAACGAACTCGAAGAAAAAGGGGTGTGTAACTGCTGTAGGATTCCCACAGAACATTTCGTTTACGGATGCGAACTTTTGAGACAGTTCCACATTTCGGAATGGGTGCTCAAGCTTTTTAGGGTTGCCTCTGAGTGCCTGTCACGGAAGCGCTTTTGAACAATTTACCGTTTCATGAAACGTGTTTGCAGGCTAAAGTGCATAATTTTTGGGGCAAATAAAAAACTATAAAGTGATATCATGGTATGGCCAGTTCGGGGCCGATTTACTTTACAACGCTGGTCGTGCTCAACTGTCAAACCGGTTATGTGGTAATCTCGTCGTACATGATAATCGCTTTCTCGAAAACCGTAGCACACGTTGAATATGAGAGCTTATTGGAGCACACTCGGAGATAGACGGCAACTGCCAGACCTTTCGATCCTTCTCGTGACCCTTCTTTTCGCATATGGAACGAATAAATGCCTTCACAGGGCCATATAACAAGAAATAAAGTATTATTTGCACGCGCGGTCTAATAAAAAATTGAGACTAGCTTTTCAACGCTGATATCTCGGGATACGCCCCCACATTAGACTTCCATTCGGGGTTGTAGCGGCTTTCCGAATATGAATGTAGCCTAACAATGACTATGATGGCCAACCATTGCACGAGGCAGCGCTTTTATCCTCCCACTAGAGCCCTCGTAGGCTTGGTCCACCAGGGCTGGCATCAATCAAGGATTCGATCGCGGGACCATCGGGCGTGCGGTAGTGCGATACTTATAACTACACCTCCGGTTTGAATTCCCACATGTCGGCCTCCTGTAGAGCTCTACAGTGCAATTTTGTGAAGGGTCGCGCCATAAAACTCGTGATTTACCAGCGCGAAGCGAATTACTCGCTCGATCTAGAGCCGATCTATACTGACTAAGTAACTTCACTAATGCTTCTTGCCCAGAACAGGCTCGTTACTCAACTGAAACCATTTCAGGCAGGATTTGGTTGGACCAACGGTGCCTTACTGGACATGCTCGTTTCTTATGGAGACCGATTAGAGTACAGTCCTACTCTAGAACCTGATGGTGAGGTGCCGAGCCCACCAAAAGAAGTACCTTACGAGATACAGTTTAGTTCGAACGTATTTATGACTAGCACTGTTATTTTGAATTTGATATTGTATTTATGTACGTTTTGGTGGTAATTTAAGTGCAATATAGAGGTGGCAATGTATATATTGTAAGTAAATAGTTCTAATACTAATATAAATAGGCATACCTCTTCCTGTGTTACCAATCACGCCAAAGGACCAGCTCTCGTCAATGAATACACGAACCTAAAAACTAAGAATCGGTCAAAAGATGAGCTGATTGAGCTCTTCCTCATTCCACTGACTGCATGAAAAAAGAACTTTGGCGTTGATTAACCACCATCACGAGATGTGCCTAATAACGACGCCCAATAAAAATCGTACTGACAACTGAATGAGTACTTGGCCTTTTGAAGGCACAGTTCACGATAATATTGAGGTACACTTTTTAAGTCGGGAAACAGAAGTTTCGGCATCGGTGGTGAAGAAAGCGAGGAAATTCGCCAATTTTGCAAAGAATAAGACTCCCAAAAAAGAGTGAAAATAGAGGTTGTACGAGTTGCCATGCCATGACGGAAATGAAATGGAAGGTGTATTTGGACGAGTTTTCATTTGTTGCCATTGCGCAAAGAGCTGACTACATAAAACGGAAACTCCAAAACTGTCTTTCATTGTCGCTTGCGTCATAACAAGCTGTCTGAAGTTCCATGAGTTCTCTTGTGAACGGTGCACCATCTACGGTGCGTTGAAACTCGTACGCGCATATGCACGAGACAATTGTAGAGCCTTCATCACGCCCTATCTAGGCCGTTTCCCGAGCTGATACCGCCGCATGTGGTGCACGAGAGGAACACAAATTTATCCTAGCGATTTATCCTTTATCCATTTTTATCGTGAATTTTGCCTTCAAGCGGTACAGATTCATTAAAGATAGGAAAAGGACTGAATTTAGTTACTCCACCACCCCCTCCCCTTTGTAAGGGCCAGTTGAATTAAGCGACTGAATCACGACTTGATACCGGAACTGGGAGCCTTCCATCCAGACGGATTGAAGGATCCCAGTTCTGGTATCAAGTCGTAATTCAATCCTCTGACCTTGCATATTATAAGGCGTCATTTGAGACTGCATCATCTCCTCAGAGATTAGTTATCACGGAATAGTCAAGGTCTTCGCTGTGTGGAAGATCGAGTTACGCTTGCTTTTTCCATAGAACTGAATGCTTTTCAACTGGGAAACATACCGCTCAGCTCCCTTGGACAATCCAATAAAGCAAGGTGCAGATATCACCTACAAAACCCAGTCCTCTACCATTCCTGAGAGACCGCTAAAGCAGACGCGCCTCTGTCGAAAAAGTCAATAAAGTGTATACTTTTACTTTCTTCTACTGGTTATCGCTGGAAAAGGTACCTGACAGCTAACAGAGCGCATACTATCATAAGGGCAAGTTTCTAGATAGGAGTACCTAAATCACCAATGCAGGTTCCAACCACTTTCAAACTGAACTCTTCCTTACGCAGTTATCACTTTGTGACGACATGCACTCAGTCATCGTACCTGCTCCCTTCAGCAGACTTCAGAAGCAAATTTATCGAGAGTTTGAAGGAAAAGAGTTATCATGAAAAAACTTATTTACTGGCATCGCAAAGAGGTGTAAAATAAGTGAAATGAAAAGGAAAATCGCGAACACACTGAAGCCAATTAAATATTTCGTTAGAGTAAGCTATTGGCATATACTATAACGTGGTTGGAATTATTCAAGCAAAAGCAATTAGTACTGAAGAATTTTGATTATGGAAGTATTCAGTTAGAACTATAGGAGTCTGAAAATCTGGTTCTCAACTTTGTACTATTGAAAGAGAAACTTTGTATCCAAAAAAGAAGAATTACACGAATGACGAACTGATGAAGAATGAAATCGCACCTTGTATTTCCATTTCAACTCCATTATACGAGGTAGAGGACAGAGATCTGCAGTATTAGCATACAACCCTTCAATCACGATAAAACGACGGGTACTTGCAGCTTTTTTCGGATCCTGAAATTGACAGCTACTATCGGTCAAGTTTAACAATTTCTATGCAGAGCATCATGAAGAATAGTCACCTTCTTGTTTCTAAGTTCTTGCTCTTTCAAAAGCCGTTCCAGATCATTCACATCATTGTGTTCAAACCATTCTACACGACTACGAGATGCCTGAAGCCCTTTTTGGATGGCAAAGTTGACGCCTAAAATCGGAAAAAGATTGTATTCAAACTCAATACTTCTAAATTGAGAATTGCTTAGTTTATGTATAGTAAATTAGTGGCAAGACCTTTGTCGACAAAGATTACGTCGCCTCGCTTTGCATAAGCTGGGATAGCACTTGCTATGGTTGCAAAACCATAGCTATAAAGCACAGCCTCTTCACACCCCATGAATCTGGAAGAAAATGTTTTATACACACATCGTTGGTCATTTAAGACACCAGATCGGAAGAACACTTTTGGAAATAAACTTTCTTCTAATAGGTAGAGGCATTAAGTTGAGGATTGAGTTGAGCATCAATGATGAAGGTAAGGAGACAACTATGACAGGGAAATGATAAAAGTTACCTCGCTAAATCTGCCTCCAGCTCAAGATGAACATCTACAGTCCCGTAGAATCCACGAGGACCACAAGAACCAACACCGTATTTGAGTATGGTTTTCTTGGCACGCTCCTTAAAAATCTGATCACATTCACTTAGAAACTAACCACCAAAAAAATATCAGAAGAGTAGAAGCAAGCCATGCAAAAAAACCCAGACATTAAACAAATATTTTGAGCAAATCGTGCGTATATTAAGGAAAGGCACACAAGGTTCAGCTCTGATCAGATTTTTTCGAGTTCGCTTACACGTTCGATGTAAATCCAGAAACCTAGACGCTTGAAACATGTATTCAATCTATACAATGGTATATGGAAGCTAGCCAATGCACATAAACGCGCTTTCACCCCCTCAAAGCGATGAGGCAACTATCACACAACCTGTATGGGTGAAAGGGTCTGTAGCCCTCTTCGCTATTCGATCAAATGATTTCATCCACTGACACGCTCGCGGGAGTTGTATCGCTATAGGAATTCTGTTTGAGGAGGCAAACTGTCATCATAGCCGCATCAGTTTATCTACATATCAATATTAGGAAACTGGTTCGGTGTGTTGTAGATGGCCTTTAATGTGATGCGGTGGTGAGGGACAGGAACACCTAGCTATGCCAAAAACTCCCATTTTTGCTCTTCTGCATTCGCTGATCGAGGAAGCTTCGGGCGACGTTGGAATAAGGCAGTGTAGCCTCCTTTGAGGTGGTTACAGATCAATTTAGTCATTTTTGACCAGCATTACCTATTATAAACTGATTGCACTGACTGTGAAAGGACGTCTGAGGAGACCACTTCATTGGGCTCTGCTCATCTATCATTAATGGCTAGAGCACAAAGAAAAATAAGGCGCCGGCATTGCGCGCCTGCAGTGATGCCTAGGAACGATTCAGAGCGGGGGATTGAGTTGTCAGGGACACGTCACAGGAAGGTAGCAACAACGGGATGAGTGAAATGCTGACCCTATGCGAAAAGTTAGAAGGGAAAAAGAATTAGTCATTGGGATATTACCTCCCTGAGAGAGCGCAAACGAGCGTAAAATGAGCGTGACCCTGCTTGTCGCGTTGGTCTTACGCTCGTTTCTGCTTAATCTGTTCATAACCACTCGGCTGCACTCTACTGGTGTTGAACAGCCGAGTGGTTCCGAACAAATCAATGAGCTAATGAATGCTTTCGCAATGATTACCATAGATTGGATCACGTCATCAAAACCTGTATGCCCCCCTCCTCTAGCTGGAACTAGAGAATTCTGAGACCGATAAAATTTTGCAGAAAGAACTATTGTAAAAATTTCTAGACGTGACAGAAGACCCAACTCCCTACTGATCTCACTTCTTCTTAAAATTACCAGAATATATAGTCAACATAAAAAAACAAAACAACCTCAATCCGTTTTTCACCCACAAAACCGAGGAAGTTTGAGGTTGCCATATTCAGATATTCTTTTCCATCGATACGCACATACTTAGTCATTTTTCTAAAGGCATGATTAAACGAGTCGATATTTCCGAAAGGAGATATGTTACACAAACCCATCAGCGAATTTTGGGTTTAGGACGGGGTGATCTTGTGGAGAATCGGGAACCAANGAGGTTGCCATATTCAGATATTCTTTTCCATCGATACGCACATACTTAGTCATTTTTCTGAAGATAGTATTAAATTAGTCGATATTTCCGAAAAGAAATACGTTACACAAACCCATCAGCGAATTTTGGGTTTAGGACGGGGTGATCTTGTGGAGAATCGGGAACCAAAGGGTCAGGCTTCCATTCAGCTATAAGTTGATCTTTCTGCTGCAAAATGACACGATTCTTCACAATAAAGTTTAAAGAAGTGAGAACAAGGAAACACAAACATTTCTACCTTCTCCGTTAGTTTCAAGTTGTGATGAGTACCATTTTGTTTTCTATTCACAAATAAATAAACTATTGTAGCCACAAGAACTGCTTCAATGTAGTAATGCAAATTTGGAACCTAGGAGAAAGATAAGTAAACTGGTTAGAAGGAGACTGAAAAAAAAATTAGAAAATCAACAACAAACAAACAAACAGACACAGAATTAATTACCCAAACTTACTAAGAACAAAGGCTCCACTACAGATGCCAGCATAAGTGATCGAGGTAGGGGAGGTCACCCTAAAGGTCGAACCTGGAATTGAAGAATTATCGACAAAATAAGAGCACATTAACGAAGACAAGATGATGATACGTAGCATTACTACCTAGTACACCCCTAAATATAGAAATTCTGCAGGTGACAAAACAGTTAGATGTAACGTCTAAGTGCATGCAGTGCACATCAAAGAGCAAACAGTCCATAAACAAACACTGAGGCGCCAACTATGGGTATTGATCGAAAGAGTTTCAGCACCTGCTTCTAAGAAATCTTTCTGCTCGTAGTTGTCTCTCTTACATCTTTATTTTTCATTTTTTTCCAGAAGGAATCATGAGCAGATAGCATATTGTTACAAAAAGCCTGCCAGGCTCCCAATGACTAACTGAAGTGGCAACATTACATTTTTTATTCAAAAAAAAATCTGCCTAATGTATTAGCAAAATGAAAATCTAAAATTGGTAGCATTCCAGTGATGTAGATAGAGTTCTGTGTGATAACCTCCCTAATCTTCAGAAGTAAAAGTGTAAGTACAATTGATCCATAAAGGACCTACATTTTGAATAAGGCTCATATGTTACATCTTCCCCAGTGAGTCATCGCTTATCTAACCACCGAAAAGCATGCGCGCTAGGCTTTATTCATTGCTGAATGAGTCAGGCTGGTAACTACCGGTTTTCAGCCCTTAACACCTAAGTGAAGCAATGGTAAATAAATAGTTAGTGCCCAAAACAAACATTCACAAAGGCGAATATGGCATTATAAAGAGACAACGGCCAGTTCTTACAAGCACCTAGTCATATCATGGAACATATCAGAATTATTTTTTAACATTTTTTTTCTCTGGAGCTTCAGTGAAAAAAGAGAAACCGCTACAAAATTTTGTGCTTCGTCCTCTACCTTCTGAATCGTAACAACCTTACAAAAGGCGAGTTGCCCTGAAATAATGGATTTTCCGACCTAAGATGTATCGAGTTTCTACCGTCTTTTTAAGGGTCAATAGGAGATCTTAACACGATGACCACGACCTTTGTAAGAATACATAGCTTGAATAAGTAAGCAGATTGGCGAATTGTAGTAGTTTGAGTGAACCTAATCATCACCCACGAGAATCTCTTGAATTTTGTGGACTAGTACGATGATTAGATTCACTCATAAAAGTCAATAATATGCTAGGATTTTTGCAGGAACTATACTACCGCCCCATTACCATACTGACCAATGTGTGCCATTATTAATGCGATACCGATAAGGATTGCAGATCATCAAAGAAAAATGTGGAGGACATTACTTTCATTGTCTATGGCAATACGCTATCGAGAAATCATAGATGTTAAGGCAAGATGAGCATAGGAAAGATGAAATTTTAGGAAAGAAGCGAATAAAAATTACTGTCCTATGCACAGGAAAAATCCATGCTATTATCATTCAAAGTGCTTCTGAACCCAAAGTGAAAAGAGGCTGATAACTGAGATAACAACCCCAGCGCTGGCTCAATTTATGCTACTAATTCCATGCAAAAGGTCAAAGTATCACTAAATTGCAACCTTCGTCATACTTATTTTTCTCATCAATAGTGAAATAAAAGATGTCAATACCGTTCATCGACAAAAAAANAAAAAAAAAGAACTGGAAATGATATGATAGTGACGATACGTTACTTTTCAAAAAGAAATCGATATGTTCAATGTTTACTTCCATAAATGAAACAAAAACAAACAGAACTTGACAAATATGGAAACTGAAACAACAGCGTTAACAGATGAACAAAGAAAAACAAGTAACACAGGAATTTACAACATACTAAAAAACAAGTCTGTCCTATTAACTCTATGGGTCACCAGCGTAACAGCAAAACAGTGAGCGCATAAACAATAAACAAGAACTGGGAAAAATATGATCGAAAAAGTATGTCATACTAATTGTCGTCTCTTTTTCTGTTTCTTCCGAACTTCCTTAGCGCTACTAATATCCTTAACGCTAGGAGTCCTTCGCATTTCAAGAGAAACGAATTCTTCGTTGAACATCTTCTAAAAATCACAAGACAACGTCGAAAATTGACTAACAACTAACTTGTGACTTACTCGTTTGAGCTTTTTAGGAGTTTTGAAGCAAGAGAACTGTGCAGTTGATGCCTCGTCAAATACGTCACACTCGTTTTTGTGATTAGAGTCGATAAGAGAAGTCTGGAAAGGTGCAAATTACTTAATGACCAAAAGATTTCACCAGTTAAGGAATTTTTGAAAAATGAAAAAACTCGTATATAATAACCAAATAAATACCTTTCTTATTGAGCTTATCCTCTTTTTCTTTCTCTTTTTGACTGACAGCTCAGTCGAAGAGCTAAACGATGACGGGAAGTCTTCCTCGAGTGAAATTTGCTCTGCGCTTGTAAGTTTTTCTCTAGTAGTCGACTTCTATAAGGAAACATTACTGACACCAGACGACAAAAACGGAGATACGAATGGAAAACAAAGTAGAGAGACCAATATACCTTTTTTAATGCCCTCTTTTTCCGCTTTGTAATGCTCTTCTCTGATAACAGATGCGAAAAATCTGTTGATGACTTGTCATTTTCCACCAAAGACATATTGTTTGATGCACTGAATTCCTCCGCAGCGTTAAACTTTGTGTCGTATACCTACAATAAGAAATGAAAGAATTTAGATAACATGAGAAAGATGTGTTGTAGAGAATTTTGAAGAGATTCTGGAAGAACTCTAATAAACATGAATATGAAAAAATACATTATCCGGGATGCTTTTCTTCTTGCTCTTCTTCTTTTTAATTTCAGCTAATGCAGTAGAAGATCCAGCGGACGATACATGTAAATCATGTGAGGATAACGAAACATCAACAGCGTCATGCTGTAAACTAGTATCAATAAAATGAAAACGAAGCAAGCTAGCCAGTAACAATGAAAAAGTTACGAACTCACGCGTTTCTTCTTCTTCTTCTTCCTTCTTGAAGCACTACTTTCTTCGGAATTTGCATCAGCTGCGCTACTGTCAATGTCAGGAGCCGAGAACCGAGCAGCACCCTGCTGGTGAACATTTGACTAAAAAAATGGAAACAGCGCTAATACTCAAACGGTTCCCATCTATCACGGAAACACGAAATGTGGGATGAAGAGGGAGAGAATTAGCGAAAATTCAATAATTTCCTCAGACTCAGACGCGATTTTCTTGCTTTTACAGGAAAAAATCTAAGGTGTTGTACATTTTATAGTAACAGTTCCGCTAATCGCTCACTTTCTCGATTCCTGACGCGATTGGGCTCCGCTTTTTTTCGCAAGAAAAACTGGTTTTCCGACTTCGTTGAAGGAGACACATTTCACTCGGCATATCAAACATAGATAAAACGTTGAACTATTACGTAAAATATCAAAGAAAATGCCGTGGGAAAACTTGTTGAAGTGGTAAGAACGATTTCCATTCCAAGCGTTCCAAAGAACATCATATTACAAAAAGTAAACATATCAGGCGTGTGCATCACCTTGAAACTTGCTGAAAACTATGATATAAGGTGTTGAAAGACAAGCAACAAACCGTGTTGACTACTCGGTAAACTTGATAAGACAACCTTACACCCCTCTCGTACCCCTTACAGCATCACAAGCCACATGTCAAAATATCGCAACTAACGTCAGGTCTACCTTCAGCGAGCGAAGGGCAGTTGTACCGCTCACGGTCAGTAACACTGTAAATCAGCCTTTTTCACTGGTTCACTTAAACAAATCAAAAATGATTGGTTAATGACCGACGCGAGGTGTGACTCTCGATATAAACACTCTAAGATCATGGACAAGAAGCAGGAGTATCTCCCAGAATAGCGAACGGATAGCTCCAATATGAGAGAAAATTTATGTCGAAATCAGTATTTGGGAACCAATAGAAACACAAAAAAGAAGGTAATCCTGCTGACAACTGCTGCCTAGAGGGAATGAAGAGGATCCTCATTGCCTGCCTTCCTATATGTCAATTCAGTAAGAAGTCCCACTGGTGAGGTCCACCTCGTTCGATACAACTACCTGCGGTCAGTCCTTAGACTGAACCCCAAGGACATGTATATTATGAAACTGGCCCGTCAACTTGGTTGAATAGATAAAAGAAATCACAAAAAGAACAAATGACAATTGTAGAAAACAACAAGAACCATACCCCACTTTTGCGTTTTCTTTTCTTCTTTGTCAACTTTGTTGGCTCTTTGTCTTCTTTTTCTTCACGGTTCCCCTGAAATACCTGACCTGAGAAAACGCTCTCTATGTCGCGAAATAGTCTGAGGAATAGTGCCTCTTGGAACTCCTCGCACTAAAGCCACGAAGCCCGAAAGCCGAAGCTTCTCTCAAAATACGTCCCGTTTGAAAAAGCTTCACTGACTGGGTTCGTACTCCGTGCCTCTCGATAAAGGAAACAGGCGACGAGCAGAAGGCGAGAAATACTGATAGACGGCGAGTGGGAGGAGGTAAAAGCTGGTAAGAAGGGGGCGATGGTCTCCGAACCAATATATCCCCCCCCTCCTCTCTCCACACCAACTTTTGCCGCCTCCTGCTTGCCGCCTGTCAGGCTTCATCGACTACTCCGTCTGCCGCCCGCGCTTTTATTGAAAGACTCCAAGCATGAACGCAGCCAATAAACCGCTACGTTCTTCAGTAGTTTCTGACCTGATCTGCACCGTCAGAAGTAGCATTCAACAGCGATGTCTCAAAAGTGAGCTCCAGACCAGAATCGGACGATGAAGGCTGAAAACAAGTTGAAATATAACTTTTTAAATGATAAAAATGAGAACACCAAACCTTTCTCGTAGTGTCGGCAGCAAGTGTGTGCGCTTTGGAGTTGACCCTTCTTGAAAAGTAAGAGATATAGCCGCGAATATCTTTCCATTTAACTTTCAACTTATCAGAAATATAGAAGGAAAGGTGGGCAAGCTCATAGAACCGGCGTGCCGACGACAACGTTGGCGTCGCCCGTCGATCGACAAGCAGCAAGCCGAAACCCGGTGGACGGGAGAAGGAATTGTTTGAGGTCATGGCTCTATCATGCTGTTAGAAGATAGAGGGAATAATTCCCATCCATTTGAAAAAGTACAGTGAAGGAAAAAGGTTCCATGGGGAACAGAAATACAAAAAAATGCATGAACGCATTGTCCGTTCTAGTGCGTAACAGTCTGAATGTCTCTCACGTGAGTGTACAATTCCTCGAAGTTCTAACGCTGACGTTGGCGTCTCTATGAAGACACATTAGTAGCTACCGACGCCGGCGTTTTTTCCGTCTGTGTTGGTCCGGTAGAGCTGGGAAACAGTACCCTCACGTCAAAGACACTCAGATGGCTAGACCGACACACAATAGTATGCAATATGTAGCCTCACGCCTTTTCTTCCACCTTCCACCGAAAATATTCCGTTCTACGAAAAGCGTAAATTCTTAAATTCTTCATCCCTCTTTTAGGGCGAAATAAAACTTTATACCCAAATCTTCTCTCTGTACACCTCTGCTGGGCGGGCCTGCAGCATGGATTAGCTACGATGACACCGAGATAGTTATTAGATGAATTGGGAAATACATAGTAACTCAAATTATACACATCCAAACGAATACAAATTTATTCAAACGCAGTTTGCAATCACGCGCCTTCTTTTTCTTTTTCAAGAAGTTCTGTTTTTTGTTAGGATATCTTACTGGGAAAATAAACCTCATCTCTCTCCTTGCAACCACAAACAAAGTTTTCGCACCCATATCATCACTTTTTATCCGTTTGCTATATTCCCGCAATTTGCATAATGAATCATCGATTCGCAAGGTATCGACCAACGGGCAAGCGAACGTCGACGTTGGGACGCCGGTACTATGAATGCGATCAGCTGAACTCATTCACATTTTCTTTTGTATGGATAACTTTCAAACTCACTCGGTCATTTCCGAAGTTCTATTAATGGATACACCAAAATCTTCCATCTTAGAATCCATATTTGACAATATTTCATCCCTAAATAACAAACAGGCGTCATTTAGTGTAGAAAACAGATTACATTAACAAACAGAACTTGCCTAAATCGCACCATTTGATCCCTAGTCCGTACCGCCTCCAGTTCTTCATCTGTGATTTGCAGCAAGCGCATCACACGCGACATATCAGCGTTCTTTTGCGCTGAGATGTGACCGCGAAGTGATGAGAAAATGGAGAGGTCAGCCAGAGAATCAGGAAATCTTCAAACATTCATTCATAAATGTACTACGCACATACACCGACCAACAAGTAAGACAAGACGAATCTCCAAAAGAAAGAAGATCTCGACAAAATGAGGACCTGTCATCTAGTGGTCGAAGGCAACATGATAGACCGTTGTAGGCAGGCTCCATTGCAGTTGCTTGCATCCTGACACCATTATTGACGTCAGCGCACAGAGCCACAATGAATAAGCTGAATTTTTCCTTAACATAAGGTCTACGTTATCACATGACACATCACAAGAGCCGCCTACTAATAGTCATAGCTATACTAGCTGCAGCTGTGGCAACATGCTGGATATGCTGCAACTAGCGAAGTAAATTGAAACACAGCACTCACCCAGTGACCCAATTCCAGCTGTCCCATAATTACATGCGCAGTGCGAATACATAAATCTCTGATCTGAAAACAAAACTCTACGTCCTTCCTTGGCAAAAGGTCAGAAACAAAAAAAGGTTAAGTCATTCACCTGCTGCAGTCTGAACAACCTTTTTAAATAAGCACCACCAATGTACCGCATAGCTTGTACAGACGGCATATGAAAGCCTGCACCACTCGCAGTTGCTTTCTACAAAATCAGAACTTATTTGAAAAAAAAANAAAAAAAAATAGAACTGCGAAACGAAATTATCAAAGCGTACCTTATGCAAATCCGAAATTCTAGCCAAAAGATCATCTTCGTTGTATTTTCGTAGCGCACGTGTGAGGTTCTTATAGATCATCCAGTATCCCTGGCGACGGTGGGGTCCATTGAATTTATACACCAACGCTTGAGCCAAAGATTGCGTGGAAGGAACGAGAGGAGTTTTCAATTGGTCAATCTTAAGCGAGAATATCTGCTTATGACATTTAGAAAAGAAATAGGAAAGATCTAATGAGGGAACATATGGAGATGTTTAACTTACAACATTTTCTAAAGCAAAGGCAACTCGTCGTACAGGGGTCGAATCTTTTTCGGGAGTAACATTGAACAAACGACTTGGATATTTCTTCGTGCAGTCGTCTAGGAACTCTGAAAAGCATTTTGTTTCACCATTTCAATGGAACATTGGACACATGACTTTGTAACACAACAATACCAAAACATGAAACTTTTCAAAAAACGTTTTCAATGTCCGAAATAAAAATTCCTAAAAACTTGACAACAATCGCATTGTTCTCATAAAGAAAAGCAAATTACAAGTAAAGATTAACAAAGAGCATAAAAATAAAACGTACCAAGAAGTTCTGAAAATTCCTCCTTCCAAGACATTCCAACGGAACTTCGAACGTTAGCAAGCAGTTTTGTTTAGAACATTCAGAGCCCTAAAAACGTTATCAAAATGATACGGATGGTTAGAACCAAAATCACAGACGTGGAATTCGCTGTGCCATCCGGAACAACGAACATTTCATGCCGCGCGCATACGTAGTACCTGTCCCCCTTTAACGAACGTAAAGATTAATATGTGAAAGGGATAAATGAGTACGTGTAAAGAAGTTTTCACTGTTCCTCTGTTTCCTGGATGCCCTGTAGAGAAATTTTGGAGATCGTTCGCAAGGAACCTTTTCCCGCGATTCCGAGAGGGAGCAAGTTTTCTTGCAGCTTCGGTTATCACTCTTGCAGTGTCTGTGAGACAGTCAGCAATCGTCAACTAAACTACGCCGTTCGACTATTCAAAGGTCGTCGTGGTTGGGCTCGTGTGAGCAAATTCGAGGGCGGGCGGTAAATACAATTGGGACGCTCTACGGAACAGCCTCTTCGAAATTAACTATAATCGTTTGCGAAGCCGTCGGCTAGCGGAATAGAACCTAGAATATTCTATTACTCAAAGTTACTTCAGACTGTCGGGGACGGTGGCTGCATTCATAGTACCGACGCCGACGCCGGTGTTGACCTTCGATTGATATCCCGCAGGTTAACGATCCACGCTGCTGTTAACTGCCTGTTGAGGCATTCGTAACGAAGAAGAAACATGCCTAGAGGCGTGTGATCTTGCCACGAGCCACATGGATGACCATCGACCACACGGCATTAAATTAAAATCCTATCCGACAGCACTAACAAATAGCACTCTGTTTAAAGATGACAAAAATATCCAGTTCAAGCAGAAACCGTTATCAACGTGAACTACAATTCAATCAATGCAATGCTGCTATCAGTTAAGGTTAATGTACGTAAGAACAGGCCTTCAAAACGCTTGAAAAGATGTCAGAACCAGCAAGATTAACCGACTTGCAGAATAACGATCGGACGCCGTTGGTAGCTCTCAGACTTCGACGTCCTCCGGCCCTCCGTCCGGCGCGGCGTGCGTGTGACGGCGGCCCTAACCCACTTGTACACGACAGGCTGCTTGCATACTTCGACTTGCGCGCCGGCTCGCAGTTGGAGACGACCGTACATTTAGAAGTGGGGTGCGAGCGGCTATGCGCGACGGCGGCTCAGTCCAAGCGTGTGACAGCAGCGGGTACCGATCGATACCACAAATCGAGGATGGCTGCTGTCACACGCTTGGACTGGGCCGCTGTCGCATAGCCGCTCGCACGCCACCTCCTAAATGTACGGCTGTCTCCAACTGCGAGCCGGAGCGCAAGTCGAAGTATGAAAGCAGCCACTGGGTTATAACTTGCCAACAATGGCTAGGGCCGCCGTCGCACGCACGCATCGCGTTGGACGGATGGACGGGCGTCGAAGTCTGAAAGCAGCCAATGGCTGCTCTCAGACTTCGACGCCCGTCCTTCCGTCCAACGCCTGGCGCGCCTCCGACCAACGGCGGCGCCGGCCACTTGTTGGCAACACTGGCGTGTGATCCATCCGCGCTCAAGGTTGTCAACACATAGCCAGCAACACTGTCAGTCGGAAGAAGCGTCAGTGCTATGAATGCAGCCTAAACCACTGGCCTTGACCGCTAGGCAAGTTCGTACGTTTTTTCGTCGCTATGCCACCAAAATCCTTTAATGATCACTACAAATGAACAAAGAACCATTAGTTGGTAAAGCAGCTTCTCTTCCAGACCCTGAAAATATTCCGGCCCCAGAAGATTCGCCGCTTTTCTCCGGTTTTCTTTGAAGATGTAAATTGTTTGGTATGCCGATATCCGTCGTTAATCAGATAGCGATTATGCTTCACCAACATGATCATCATCAAGTGCTGGAGGTTCATTTGTTTAGTTTTAACACTCGTGGATGGTCGACGTATTGTGTACTCACCAACATGACCGACAAGATCGTAGAACAGGTGACTGTCTGAGCTCTTGGTGTTGTTTTCCAGTCTTTTTTTGAGGAAAACTGCTTTAGCCTGCCAAAGAAATGCCAGACATGAGAAATGTGAAACTTAGAATGACAAACCTACGCTTACATGCTAACGGAGTCTTCAGTAATGTGTACAGGTGAGGACTACGTGCCTCTGGCCGTTAAACATGAACCATACGGCATGGGTCAGGATGCCCCATCACCGCCTCGCCGATCGTCATTCCAGCCAGATCTTCATCTTCAATCTACCAAGAATGGAAGGTCCTAACACGATTACCTGTGGTCTTCTTCCGCATTCAGCGACCTGATTTTGACAAGGCGTGGTGGTGCGCTGCGATGGCACCTCCTGACCCTTGTCCATTAACATTACCTGAGTTAAGTTATTCTACTGTAACAGTATACTTACCGATTTGTGCACAACTTCAGAGGCACACTGCTATCCCCAGGAGATGCACCGAGAGAAATCGCTATTAAAAAAACTTGGCCAGGTTTGCTGCTTTGTTGCTTCAAAACAGTTCGACTGGGAGCGTTCACACTCCTGCTTATCATGTTTGCGTATTTACGTAAAGAGCTGATATAGATTACAAACAATTATGGTGTCTGTGCTCATTTACGGGAACTTTTATTTATGGGGCGGGTCGTTCTATGGAGCAGAAATCATCATATCAGTGAACTCCTGTTTTTTGTTTTCAGAAAGCAAAGATCGCAACTTTGAAATGATATTTCTCACTGGGATCAGTAGAGAACGACATAAAAATATCATACAGATGATCTATGCCTTCTCGAACAAGCGAGACGATCGGGTATTTGCTATTATGTCTGCACTTATAAACTTACAATTAGTTTGTTTTCACAGAAACATTGAGCAAATCCTTGATAATTGACACCACTGCCCGCCTCTGTTAATAAAATGATTGGTTTGTCTAACACTGATCTTTTTACGGCTGAGCGTATGGAGTCCCGAACGGAATATCGCGCGGCGAGACAATTAAGTAAGATCGTGTGCTGAGAATGGGTTTAGACTACTTCAACACAACTAGCCGTTGTTTATCTATCCTATCGCGCGTGTGTTTGCGCTCGATCGCCGCCTTTCGGAGCGCAAAGTGTAAGGATAAGGTTTGAGTTATAGGGTGTTGGGCGTTTGCCGCGAAACCACTGCTAAGTGCATCCGTGCGACCGTGGGACCCTGGGCGAAATCCTTAATGCTCCCCGCTTAAATGCCTACCTGGCTTCCAACCTGATCTGTTCATTCCTTCTTACGCTAATCAATGGGTATGGAGTTGAAATAAAATGAAAACTGACCACTAACAAGACTATAAAAAGTCAGCAAGGGAATCTCTAAAGAAGCTTATGATCTTACACAGTATGACTGGTGCAAACTGATGAGGCTGCCATCCGGTGCCCTTGTCGATCCTTATTAGTTGAGTTTGCTGGTAAGCTACTATGGCTGCTTTCATAGTCCACGATTTGGCCCGCGAGCGATCCCGGCGATTGGTCGCAGGCCAAATCGTGGACTATGAAAGTAGCCTATGTGGCAAGGATCTCTAGAAGAAGCGAGCGTGCCCAGTGGAGCGGTTGATATCATGTTATGCTAGTCGTCAGATTGAGGAAGTTTATCTCGAACATCAATACAGAGAGAGAAGTTAGGATGACGCGTTAATATCTCGAAGTTACATCATTAAACAACAACGCAAACAAACAAACAACATGCGCAATGGGCATAAAACGGTTATACAACGACTCTACTATGGGGATGCAAACGATACGATACAAATCGATACGATACAGCTCTTGGTATGGAGGGCCTCGCCCCTGAGATGAGGAAGATGGCGGGCATGTGATGAGAGGAACGGGAGAGTCGACGCCGTTCTGTGTGGCTTTCGCCAGGGGTCCCTGTCGTATTGGCTTGAAGACTCCGCTCTAAAAGATTGAGTCGTACGGAGGTTTTACGGTGCTTATGACTTATGACTAAGCGATGATTTAGGCTGCGTCCACGCTTACAATTCCCCATTTACCCAAGTCTGTCCTAGACATAAAAAAGTGGAGGGAAGATCACACTGTGACGTGATAATACCCGTGAAAATACCACTCCAAAGTTGAGGATGGAACTACAGTGCTGATGGACGCTGCCCATTCGAGCATCCGTCTCCAAAACGGTACAGTCGTTCAAGAATCTGCGTGGCCAATTGGCCGTGACGGCATCACGTGGTTGCCACATTGACCCTTTTGTAGTCGTCCAGGAAGCTGGCTGAATTAAAGGAAAAGTTTGTTCTGGTAATTAAGAGTATGACTACATTTTTCGCGTTCTTGAATGGAATCCACAGCAGTTGGCTCAACGCCGAGCTGGTCAAGACGGCATTGAAGGTGGCGTGACTGCCCTTTTTAAAACGAAATTACGCAGACCTGTGCTGCTTGGATCCGATTTCCCAGCAGAATCTCGATTATTCGACGTTCGTTGTTTGTGCATGCGTGAGTTTTGTCCGTGAAGTGTGACTTACTGGCTGTTTTCTTGTAGAGCTGCGGCTTTGACTGGACGCTCATGACGCTACGAACGCGAAAGCGAGCTGGATTCAAACTTCGGTGGCACCGTGCGTGTGGTTCAAATATACGAAAAATTATATGGTGTTGGGATTGTAATGAATGTGCCCGACGAGTCATGAGGGCAGAGCCAGGCGGACATCGGAAGAGCCGCCGTGCTCCCGCAACGAGACAGCGCCCCGAGCGGCAATAAAAACTTGACCTGAGGCGAATGAGTCAAACCAGATCTAGAGGAAGAACAGGGCAGACTGCTATAAGGACTGTGGGCTAATTCTTCGTTACGCTTGATGAGAGCACTTGTTTCCGCTTCAGATCGTTCTAACACAGATTGTTTTTCGCGCAGAGAAAGGAGAGAGCTTGAATTTGCTCGCGTTTTTCCGAAAAGTCATGAGACGTATCACGACGAGCAGGATATATCTCAGAAGATGGTGAAAATGCGACAGACGACGATCAAACGAACTAGAATGCACATGGTTAGAAGGGGTACCTGTGAGTCTGCGCTGGTCCCGTGGTGAAGGGCACTGCCGAGCGAAATGTCCGCTGCCTTCATAGTTGTGGCAGAGTTGGGAAGGTCCTCTCTAAGCGTTTCGTGAGTATCCATCATTGCGCTGCCTCTGAAATGGAAGGTTTAGATTGAAACGAGAAGGAGGTGAACCTTGATATCGGCCTTGCCTAAGGCTACACGCTCGAGGGCGTTGATCGCGCCTGGGGTTGAACCACCTGGGAGCTGCTATCTTAAACTCAATAGTTTTAGGAGGGACTGACGGTGCAGTGAAAAAGTCGGATATAGTCTCAGCTAGCAACTGTTCTACCATCTGAGCTTTTGAGGCAGCTTGTTCAAACGATGACGAATTATCAAGATTGACGTTATACCTGATATCCTGGCGAAGGCGCGCGACGAACTCTTCCAAGACACGCTCCTTCTGAGTAGCTGGATGCTGGCCTGTGGTGGCCGCACTGTCTCAAGTAAGCAAATGATCTGCGAAGGTAGCTGAAGATTCATCTGTCTGCTGCTTGCAAGCGGACAGAGCTATGCTTATGGGGGTGGAGAAAGGGGCGGTTCGATACAGTACAGTGACTAATGAAGACAGAAGAACTGTTGAAAGAGAAAAGGAAGGGTCACGACCTCTGAGCTTCTGCACAAGATTCGCCTCACGATAAGAAACCCGCGGAATTTTAAACGAAAAGCGTAGGGACGGAAAAAGGAAAATGAGCTTAGTCGCCACCGCACGGCAGACCGTTTACAAAAGAGGAAAGAAAGCATCATATTACCGCTAATAGGAAGCAAATTGATGCAACGAATATAATGTACGAAATATGATAGCGAATACGTTAATAGTGCGACATTGTGATTGAACGAGCAGAAGAAAATTGCACTGTAAGGTCAAATTAGCATGCAACCGGTTAATACAAGTTTCAACACGTTCGACCGCGTTAGCTCACTCATTCCGTTGCAACTTAAGCAACCGATTGGCTACTAGCAGACTTCAATGATTCGACCAAAGTCCGTTCGTCCGTCTGTTGCGTCAGTTCGTCCATGTATGGCATCTTTCATAGTCCACGACCGGTCGCGCGACTGGTCGCCAGTCGCTAGCGACTGGTCGCTCGACTGGTCACTTGACTGATCGCGCCACTGGTCGCTCGATCGGTCGAGGAGGCCGCGCTAGTTATGGGTGCCGCCGTGGACGGTCCCGCGCGATCAGTCAAGTGACCGGTCGCGCGACCGGTCGCCGGTGGGTCGCGACCAGTCGCGCGACCGGTCGTGGNCTCGACCGATCGAGCGACCAGTGGCGCGATCAGTCAAGTGACCAGTCGAGCGACCAGTCGCTAGCGACTGGCGACCAGTCGCGCGACCGGTCGTGGACTATGAAAGATGCCTATCGCGTGCGTGAGAGCGACGGCGGCGCTAGACAGGTGTTGACAACATTGGATGCCGATGGATCACGTGCCGGTGTTGTCAACAAGTGGCTAGCGACGCCGTCGCTCGCACGAAAAGAAGGCATCTGGACGGAATACAAGAAAAGACGACATTTGAACGAAGCGTTTGAAGAAGGGACCGCATCTGGACGGAATGTCAGAAGAAAGCCGCATAAGGCGTCCGAAGAAAGGCAACGCTTTGCCAAATTCCAGAAGAAAGACGACATTTGAAGAAACATTGGAAGAAAGGCGCTATTTACAGAAGTCATATGACGGAGAAGTGACGCTCCGATATACAGCTAGAGAAAGAGCTGGCTGTGTTCAATGTGAGGGTACTGTAGTCCTCGTTCAAAACCATCCGGCAATCGACTTCGAATTCAACATTTTAAAAAGTGACTCACACTCAGTGGCCAGCCTCATGAGTCGTCACCTTAAACAAATTCCTCAAAAAACCGGCACCTCAACCAACTCCTTCCACCGTAGCGGGGGCGAACCACTCGCTGCTACCAGTAAGCGAGCGCGCCTAGTGGAGCGGCTGATATCATGCTACGCGAGTCGTCAGGTTGAGAAAGTTTGTCTTTAAAACATCAATCCAGAGAGAGAAGGCAGGATGACCCGTTGATACCTCAGAGTTACATCATTAAACAAGAAACGCACATGCGCGCAAAGGGCATAGAACGGTTATACAATGACTCTACTACGGCAACAAGATACAAGTCAGCCTTTGGTAGGGAGACCACACCCTCGAAATGAGAAAAACGGTGATGAGAAAGAACCGGGGAGTCGACGCCGTTCGGTGCGGCTTCCGCCAGAGACCTCATTGTCGCATCGGCTTGAGGAGTCCGCCTTAGAAGGTCGAGTCATACGGAGGTTTCACAGTGCTTGTTCAGTAAAGCGATGATGTAGGCTGCGTCCACGCTTACACCAGTTAGCAGTTGAAGGAACTCGAAGGAACGAGAGGTTCACTTTCTCAGAACAGGGTTCTAGCCTACGGACCGTGTTTTCGATGTGTAGCCCACGACTTTCATCCCATCCCCTCCTATCTCTTCCTTTAGGATTTTCGAAGGGATGAGGGAAGGGGTTAAAAGGAGCGATTGGCTATAGGAAAAGTTCCATTTGATGCGAGATGCTCTGAAAGGGCTGTTAAGTAAACCGAATTGAGCCCCGTAATAATTGTTTACAAACTTTAATAAGCAAGACCGAATGGAGCTGGGCAAAACCGTAAAGTTTCAGATATGCGAATCATTTGTTTTCGATTTTATGCCCGACACATTGGGATCGTTAATCGAGAGCAGTGCGCTCGATCTTGTCGACATGAAAATCTACACTTGGCAATTGTTCAATGGCCTACAATATCTTAGCCAGGTAAGTTTACCGAACCACTGTCTTCCCTTAAAAACACCATTAATTGCATTTCAGTTACAAATCATGCATAGAGACGTGAAGCCAGTCAACGTCCTCGTAGACCACGCACAGGGCCTCTTAAAAATCGGCGATTTTGGCTCCGCAAAAGTCATACGGCCAGGAATGACGTCAACACCATATCAAGTCTCTGATTGGAAACCTTTTAGTTCCATCACACTCTACAATGATTGTGCTTTTGTAGGTGACACGATTTTATCGACCGCCCGAATTACTACTCGGATCTGAAAATTACAATTGGACAGTTGGTAGGTCATACGATGTTCTAGACAATTTGCCCAGAAAGTAGCGATAACGACAGTGAAAACGAGAGGATTAGTAGAGCAGGCAAGTTCTACCTGAGGATCAAGACACACTCGGTTTAGCACTCATCCAACATTTGAAGGCATAGTTCGCAATAAAAAAGGTTCCCGAGACCCTTCCCAGGACGAATCTGCGGTCCTCAACGATAGCTTGGGGGACATCGTCGGGTCAAAAATGGTCTCGTCGAGGCGTTATAAGGATTTTGAGAGCTCTCAAAAAATGGTCTCGTCGAGGCGTTATAAGGATTTTAAGGGCTCTCAAACGGGTTCGGCCGACATACACACCCCAAGAAGGCCGTGTTATGCCACCTTGTTAAGACTGCATTATTGACAATGAAGCGATAGGAAGCTGACGAATAGTACGATTATGTGGAAGACACTCAGAACTCGTACTGTTTCAGACGGCGATCTTCAACCCCTTTCTTCCTACATTATCGAAACTTCATGTTCCCTAAAGTCCGCGCTTTTCGCACTTTCGCCATCTCTAGACCATTAGGCACCATAGCCTCGATTAGATCACTGAAGTTTGATTCCCTAGAATTATCGTAAACTGTGCCTTCGATCGGTTAAACATCGGTTCACTTGGATGCATGAGTAACGCTACAGTTACCGTATAAACGACTGGGTTCACAAGGGCATTATGTCTCTCGACTATTTAATTTCAAATTCGGAAGTCAATCTGTGCTTCCTAGTGCTACACTCCACACTACAAGAGGTCCAAACCCCTTCTTCCAACTTGAGCTTGATGCGTGTGTTGGGTTTCGCTAGTGTTATAGATGAAAGTGTGGTGCCAGAAAAGTACAGTTTGGATTCGACTTCTAACAGCATTATTCCAGAGCTATTCTTAACGAACATTTGCCTCTTTTCAGATGTGTGGTCTGCTGGTTGTGTAGTAGGAGAGATGGTGAAAGGCAATGTGCTTTTTCCCGGACGAGATACAAAGCATCAGTTGAAATTAATTCGACGAGCCTTGGGTAGTCCCACCGACGCAGATATGAAGTATGTACTAGTGACCTTTTTTTATAGAAACATAATCACATCTTCGAGCATAGAACAGCTGACGATCAGCTGAAAATGAATATGAAGTGTCCAAATGCTACAGCAGAGAAACTCAGGGCCTGTTTAATCGGCAAGTTCGTTGGCCAAAAGCTCTTTTACGATCTACGCCTCCATGCTCTACTAAGAGACCGCACCTGAGATTACGCCATATCCATAGTGCCCGAAGAGCTAGTCCCTGAGTTTACACGCCCTTGGGCCGAAGATTCCCACAAGAACCGGCTCTCCTATCCCTCCGGAGTTGGTTCATTCATACCAGCCTCGTCTGGCAGGATAAGCACTGACTTGTACATCAGCTGACCACTACAAGACATTGTATAGGCCACATACGCACTCGGAATGTCGGATCGAAGTAGTTGTGAATAGAAGTTGATTGCGGGGGCATGTTCCATAAATAGGATTAGTTAAGCCCGAAAGGTTTTATCCCATCGATGGTAGGGAAACTTTAGTGGAAACTCCAAAGGTAAGTGCAATGAGGTGGTACAAAATGGTATAGAGTAATGCAAATCTGTAGTTTTACCATCTGTTGAACATACTCGTGCATCTGTGTATCTTCAGAGCGATGAACATTCCCAGACCAGCGGACAGCATTCCTGAACGAACGGCTGGCTCAGGACTTGCTGCGGTATGGGATTTCTCGAGGAATATCAATTGTACACTATGTAAAGATAGTAAATTCCAGCTTCTTCCTTCCGCTCGGCCTGAAGTTGTGTTCTTCATCAGTAAAATACTTGTTTACAAACCAAAGGCAAGATTGTGCGGAAAAGAAATTTTACGGGACCCGTTTTTTGATTCGCTGTTTCGGTATATCATCAGTTTTGACCATACCATGGATACATTCTCACAAGTAAGACTTTCTCAATTCTTTCAGGGAAGGCTCCAAAAGGTCAAACGGTCAACTTATTTCACAATGCATCACGTCCGCTGACATTGCCGTGGCTCATTCAATGTAAATTTTTGTGATCTCCCAAAATTCCCTTTGCTTATTTTCCGATGGAGAGGAGTTTTTATAAAAATTCTAGGAAGTTCTACCAACTCATCTAATGGAGAAGTCTAGTTTTAGATAACCCATAGTCTTGGTTTTTCAGAGATGAATCCAAAGTGAAGGCAAAGCTGAGTTCAATAATAATGAGGACGAAGCTAGACTTCAGTTGCGACGATGAGTCAAAAGAAAGTAGGAGCCGTGAATCTGTTGTTAACGTTCAAAAGGCTAGTAAAAGTGCCAGCAAGGTAAGCCTAACAACGAATTTAACAGCACAAACTTTTTTCTTTTCCGTGTCAGGAAATGATGAGCCGAGGTTACGGTACCGCCTGCATCTCCCGTCGTCCCGTTGATAATCGATTTGCTCGAGCAGGCGCGAGCAACGTCCCCATTCATTCGCATAACCAATGTTCTCGTGTCCTCCATGGATCCTTCTCGCTTGTGACATGAGGGAGTTGGCAGACACTGGCAACCATAAATGGTGGAGACAAACACACCCTGACGATTCCCATTCCACGCTGTTCAGATGGTTCTAATATGAAGCGCTTCACTCCTCTTGAGACCGATTTTGGCATTGAAGCCAAAGCATAGAACAGCAATCGGAATGAAAGCATACTTCCTTCAAGGCCATTCCCGACCAAGGAAATTCGGTCGTTCACAATATTTATAATGTTTCTTTTTAGGAAAGACGATTATCTACTGACTCGACTGGAACTGGTGAGGTAAAGAAGAGGATAAGAAAGAAATCCAGAGAACGAATGACAATGGCTAAAACTGCCAAAAAAGGAAAAAGCGTTGGTTTTTCATTCAAGAGCATATAGAGATCAGATCTAGAGCTCAAACCTAATTTGTTTAGGCCGAGCAGACCAAGTCCATATTGCGACGTCTCAGAAGCAGATAATTTTGCCACAGCTTATAGTTCAATTTTTGTGAATCCACTCTTAAAAGCATCAAAATCAATAACGCCTGTCAAACTGTGTAAATTCATAATAAGAGTGTCTATTGTATAAAGTTGTTTATATTGAATAGATTTGCACTATTTAGCTACACCTCCTGTTCTCAAAAGGAGCGGAGCGGGTAGGGTTGCGATCATACCTCCAGCATCGGCGTTGGCGCTGACCGTCGACCGATACCTTCCCGCATGGGGAAGTCGACCGATACCTTCCCGCATGGGGAACGCCCGTTGCGCGCGTCCGTCGAAAGCAGTTCACCCCGCCCACTTCGCGCGCGGCGCACCACACAAAGATCCCGAGATGAATTATAGTACCTCCAAGTGTCAGTGAAACGAAAGATTGGTATTTGGCTGTGTTATCTTCTCTTTGAACTGGCTGCCGTGGACCAAGCGCAACTCGTATGCCCCACTGAGAACTGCGACGACTGCCAAGTATCGCGCGCTGACTCGCCGCGTGCGACGGCTGCGACGTGACCTAGTTTCGACGGAGGCGCGCAACGAAGCGCACCCTTCCCGCATTGAACAAGTTCCCAACGAAGAAAAGAAAAACATGAAAGCAACAAATCGGTGAAAATGTAGTTGGGGCGGTACAGAAACGAAAGTTCAGTACGAACACTTTGATCTTACAGTAACTCCCTAGCTTCCCCAATGCTCACCCCATGTTCTTGCCCAGGGCTCTTTTCTATGCGTCGTATATGTGACCTGTGAGAACTTGCGTATTAAAATGGGGTTATGTCTAGCCGGGTCTACGGATCTCCCTTCACTGAGGGTTCTCTCTCACTGAAGGATCCCCAGCCGGTTAGTGACGAGGCTACGTAGGGCGTCCCCAGGTGGCGGATAGGGGAATTAATCGCC